GGAAGACCTTCCTCAAGTGTAGCCGTATATCGGCCGAAAGAGAAAAAACTTCAACCTACCTTTACCACGCCCAACTTGAACACCTCACACCAGATGCTACAAGCCTCCTGCGCCTGTACTGCTTCAATTCAGCCCTCACAACAGTCAATCAGTACACGTTAATTTTCCCGAAGCCAATATATCAGCCCGGCTAGCTCAATCGGTAGAGCGTGAGACTCTTAGCTTTCACGTCCTAACTAGACTCGATTGGTTCATCTCAAGGTTGTGGGTTCGACCCCCACGTCGGGCTTACAGTTCATGGCACATTGCATCTTCGATGAGCCAAGAACTTTTTTTGGCGGTTGAGGGTGATGGTGTTGTGATTTTGATGTTTTTTTTGGGCTTGAGTGAATGCCAAGCAACGAAGCGAGAGAAAGATGGTAAGAAGCAGCGGGGAAATGATGGAACACTAGAACATGTATGACTGCTGTACGAAAGCAGTGGGAAGAAGGAAGCGGGTCGATATGGTCGTCGCTGGGTCTGGTTCATGATGTGGCATGTATAGTACTGTCTACATCGTGCGCCGACTACGAGCACTGACAAGTATAGGAAGGCTATCTAATACTACGTGCTTTCATGACTTTGCTCCCACAGTGTAGAGTTTGGAGAATATCAAGAGAACGAATCTTGCGTCACTAGATCGGGCGATGAAGTGGTGATGCTTGTTAGAAGCGACAACATCCATCAGATCGCGCTATGTTATGTCCCCTTGTATTGGGATTCGTCAAAGGTTTTATACTGTGTTCGTACGTGATTCAAGTTCTCTGCGCGTATTCTCTTCTTACTTGCAGCTTAAGAACCTTCACTGCGTTGGAACGCATGTAGCAAACACAATCCCCTTGGAACTTTTCGCGAGACCATGTGTGAGCCGCCTACTTCGTCTTCTGATCGCACGACACGAAGTGGGCGATATCTTGTAGCAATCCAAGTACTGCGCGAAGGAACTTCCAACGAACAATTTCAGTTCAAGTCTGGGGTTTTTAGTGAGCACTCACGACAGAATAGCGTTGTGTAGAAGGATGGACATTCTTCTACTCTATCTACTATTTACACCAACACCACTCCTTCCCTCCCTTCCCATCCACCCTCCAACCCCATATCAAAACCCCCTTCCACCCACTCCATGTCACAAACCCTCCCACCCTCCCCATATTCCCTCAAGTACATGTCATCACGACTGGCTACCGTTCCCAAGTAGGTGGGACAGATCAGCCAAGATGCGTGAATCCATGTCTTGTCAATCATGCCAACCTTGCTCATTCCTCCGAGTGTGCGAAAGAATGAGCTGGATGGTCATGAAAGCTTCTCCCCCTCCATCCCACCCTCAGCAATGGATCAACAATCCCCTGCGAGAAGACGCCTTCTCGCAGCTTCTCGCGACTGACGTAGCCGTCAGTAGCCCAAACAGATAAAACGCCGACGCTCCCAAGTGTGTGGAATTGTCAGCCAAGGGATCCGTAGATTCTTGTCTCAGTCAAACCACGCAAACCGACGTAGCACTGCTCGTAGCAGCTTTTGGGTACGCCCCGAGTGTGCGATAGTATGAGCTGAAAGATTCATCAAAGCTCGTCCGTGGAGCGAAGCGATACCCAGGAGGGTTTTCGTATGTGTCGAAGGAAAGTGCGTTCCTTCATGTGGCGAAGAGCTTGTCCCTAAGGCCTAGCGACCGCCGAAACGGTATGACCTTGAACAACCTCACTCTCTCACGTCAGCGCGAGAGAGCGAGGAGTAAAACCGCAATTGAGTCGTCTATGCGAACAAGAGCGACGATTGCAGTTTTGAGTCCAAGGTAAGGAAAAAGAGAAGAAGTGGGAGGAGCGGGCGGGCGAGATTATATAGGCAGTGTGGGCGCGCGGCTGTAGGATTGATCCGGCGCCGAGCTGAGTAATGGGTGGCGATGACGCGCGTTGGAAAAGTCTGGAAGGGCGTGGACGTTCTGTTTGCGGAAGGAGCGTGAATTTGGCGTCACTGGCGTGGTGAAGGTGAGTGAGTGACCGGGCAACGCGGGGACGCGCCGACAACAGCGCGCACAGGGATCTTCAGGTTCGTTCAATTTCAGGTAGGAGACGACAATAACACAATACTGTACAAGGAAATAACATTTGGTCGGTGTAGCCATCCGGCTGCCCTTCTGGGTGTTATGTACTTCGTCTAATCAGGTCTGATAGTCTCCAGCTTATCCTCCCATATTCGAGAAGTAAGCTCATCCCTTCGCATTTCGAGCGGCGCCATATTGGAGAACATTACCGATACCCTACACTCCCTATCCAGTAGATCTTGAATATTCGAAAACATCTCCCTCAGATCCGTTAATACAAATCGCCTATAGTTGTCGTGATACGTGGGAAGTGACGTAAAAGCTGCATCAAAGTCAAATATGACACGCGTCAGCTTAGGCAGATCTTTGAGATTATCGAGATCGCCGGTCTTGATGTTATATGCCTTCTCTTCTCCCCTGTATATAGAGAGGACGCTCTCCGTTGTTGTAATCCTGATGATTTTGATCTTGCGCACCCACTCTCGCGGTGGTACTCCGTAGCCGAAGCGCGGATCGTTGAGGAAGTAAGGGACGAGACGACATTCGACGAAGGAGAATGTTGTATTGCGGTACCAAGCCTCGATTAGCTCGGAGTAGAAGAGCTTGCCGGAGTAGTCACGATCCCAGAGGTGCTCGTAGGCAATATTGGTGCGGTTTGGGAACCCTGCGGGGCACATGGGTGTGACACCGATTTCGGAACAAAAGAGGAAATATTTCAGTACCTTCTTATCAATCCTCACGATCGACTCCCCGATGATGTATTGGTATGTCATGTCGCGAAGCTCGCGGGGTAATATAGCGCAGACCGTAGTGCAAATGGGAAGACACTGCGCCGCTGTATATCGCTTCATACGGCAATCGATCTTACTAGTGATATTTCGGGCTTCTTCCTGGAGTCTGAACATCCGTTGGTATCGACCGGTTTCGTGAGAAGGCTCCTTGACTGGACAACTGTTGCGTAGACAGAAGATATGATTCTCGGCGTTCAATTCTCCGATGCGCGCGTCTATAATCCGCTTGAGGACTTTCAGCTTCTTCAACTCGCTGTTGGAGGTTAGTCGTTGTTCTTTCCCACCCCAAATGGCGCGTACGTCTGAAGATACTCCCGGTCTTCGTCGACAGTGGCGGATACAGTATTCTCCCCAGCGACACTGGTATTTGTATGATTCAACGTAGACGGCTCGAAATACCTATTGAAACTCGTTATCACCGCCTGCGATATGTATTTGATGAACTTACCCTTCCACAGCAGAGGCAAGTCCTGCATCGCTGGGGACCCGAGTTGGCGTTACTCCTGTGACGCTGCTGTCGATGCTCACTGACATGATGTTTTGCTGTCAACTTGAGTGTTGAACTGGAGAAGTGATAAAGAATGCAGATGGTAAGTGGTAATGCGGGTTTTCGTGAAGAGGTATAAGTGGAACACGCTCGTGATGCCTAGCGGTGACACGTGCGCACAGCTTTCATTATTATATCCCTACTATCCCCTCCGACGCATTGATCGCCTCATGGAATTTCTTGGTCCATTCTTCCACAGTAGTCTCCTCCGGTACCACCACAAACTTCAAGTTCAACTCAGATCGAACTATAAGTTTAAACCGCAAACGATGCAGTGACAGTAACACTGGAAACATGTATGCGGCGTGTTGAGCGCATACCTGCGCATCATACATGTATTCAACGACATTCTCCAATACAATCGTAACAATAGGGCAAGTCCTGTGGAAATGCCTGAGCAACTCAAGTCTCTCCGCAAACTCTTCCTGCTCAAACGTTTCGCCACCGATCCGTACTTTGATCTCAAATCTCTTGATGAATCGGGGCGGGTTCAGATTGGTGGACCATCGCAATCTTCTAAGAGATCTGCAAATGAATTTGGGATCGATGACAAGGAAGGTCGCATTCCGGTACCACGCTTTAACCAGTTCAAGCCTGATTGGGTCGTCTTGAGTGAAGTAGCCGGGAGTCAGTAGGTAGGTGTCAGACCGGCACTTTAGGTTAGCTTCGCTGATTCCCTTGACGCTCACGTATTCGCTGACTTCGTGATCTACGTCTAATTCTACTCGTTGGCCTTGGAAGATGAACCCGTATATCGTATCGCGAAGTTCTTGACAGAGTCGCTTGCGTACCTCCTCGAGCAACGCACGGCAGCGCGCCCCCTTCGTAAGACCTGATGCGAGTGTCCACCTCGCATTTGCTTTGCTTGATGATGGTCTTCGCGACGCCGTCTATCTTTCCAAGGACTGGTTGCTGTTCAGTGGTCAAAAGCGCAGGTACGTCTGCGTCGTTTTCCAATAGCCAGACAGCGAATGAAAGCCTTTCAGCGTTTTCCAGCCGGGACGATGCTCTGCTCGTTGTCAATGACTATTTCGATCGCAACGGAAGCGTGTTACATACTCTTTAAGGAAAGTGTTCATCTCATACTCAGGATGGTCATGATCATCCCATCTGATGGGGCTCAAGTATTCTGATGGATATATCTGGGCTCTTTTCGCTCGTTAGCTATCGAAATCAAGAGGACTGTTATTGCTACTCACAGTTGCGCCATCTTGTGACACGCAGTATAGTCAATTTCCGAGATGTAATGCTGATTCTAGAAATGAGAAAATCTGTGTGTTCAAAGCTCGATACACAAAAATATTAGGGAAGTGCGAGTTTAAGTAGCAAAGGCGGCGCACCCAAAGTCTTTTGTCTTGGCGTCCGATATAACTGTGGTGTACTTTGGTTGTTGGAATGAGATTTTATTGAGAACCATGGTTGCGATGCACTGAAACCAAGGCTTACGCTCGACACCAGATGGCATCCGGTAGCCTATAGGACCCCAGCCTCCGACGCATTGAATTGACAATTCTCAGGTCGGTGCAGATGTTTTGGAGCGGGTCGCGCAATACGAGAACTACGTTCCTCGCGGCTGTTCCAAATTTTACTCTTGTGATTCGTCCGACTCATCCTCTTGCGACGCGTCCGACTCATCCTCTTGCGACGCGTCTGACCCATCCTCGTGTGATTCATCCGAATCTTCCTCTTGTGGATCATCCGAACAGTAGTGCTGTGAGCTATCCGAGATATACTTCTGTGATGCTTCCTCCATTTTGTCCCAGTCCCCGAAATCTTCACTGTACTCTGCTTTCCAGAGCTTTATGCGAGCCTCTTCAACAGCCGCTTCGCATATCTTTGTCCACCCTTCCACAGTAGTCTCTTCAGGCTCGACTAAGAACTCCAGGCCAAATTCAGAACGCACAGTCACCTTGTATCCCCTGCTTCTCAGTTCAACCAATTCTGGGAAGAGATATGCTGCCCTCTGCGCACATGTTCTCATTGACACAACAACTTCTGCGTCTTCAAAATCTGGGTAGTGAATAAGATTTTCCACATAGATCGTGATGGCTGCTTTGGTATTGAGAAGAAGCAGGGGCTTTAATGATCGTTCCAGTTCGTGGGGCTCATCGTCGGGATTGTATCTAGTATATGCTACTACGAGGACGTGCCTTAATGTTGTGAGTGGTTTCAAACCAGCACCCCACGGAAACTGAAGGAGAGAAGAAGCGATGGTTGAGGGATCTTGGACGCCGAATTTTGAAGTTCGGAACCACATGTCGGCCATCTCTTTCCTTATCTCGGCGTTGTCGATGAAGTAGTCGGGCTCGAGTAGATAGCGGTAAGGGATGCGCGTCCCGGTCTGTAGAGGCAGAGGTAAGGAGTCAGCATATATCTCACATGCACTTGGTACAGCCAGAACTTACCTTTGCCCCGACATAAAAGCGAACAGCGGGTCCGTGGTATTCGCTTTCTTCCACTATTAGACTCAATGCTGAGTCTTCGAAGATGAACCCATACATCAAATTGCGAATCTCTGCAGCGCCGCGAAAGAAATCCCAAAATTCCTGCAATAGTTGATTGCATGCAGGTGCTTCATGCTCTACGAGCTGCTCTTCAACATCGGCCCTGATTCTACGGATCTGGCTCATAATGCTGCAAGCAGCCGCGTGATAGATGGCCAGTTCCTCCTTTGTCGCATTGCCTAGTACAATCCAGTTGGAGTGGTGGGTAAATCGATGGAGAGATCTCAACTGTTTCAGTAAGATCGGGAGTCATTTTGATGCGCTACTCAATGTTAACATTGCCAGATTACAACAAAACGCTACCACTTACTCGTGTATACTGAAATAATATTCGCGCATAGCAGGACCGACTTCGTCATAATTGGGAATCTCCGGCGATCGTGATCGACGCCTTGTCGTTCGTTAGCTGTTAGGATCTATAGAACTGACGTGGCCACTTACTGTTGTGCCATCTTGCGCAACGTGGTACAGTCAACAACTATAAAAGTGTGTTGCTGTTCCCTGGACTGCGAACTTTAGTAGGTGGAAGGTCAATGGAAGTATTCAGAAGGGATGCGAGGGTTTAAATATCGAACACCTGCATCCGAAGTCGCTCAGTAGCCATATTAATGATGTTGTATTACCGATCTCTCACTCGTCCGTTGTAGCTCTCTCGTTCACATCCATGGTAGCAGAGATTAAGTCGCGCCTATAACAGCTGCAGTAGCGTAACCACGGCTAGAGGATACCATAGGTTTAATAATCTCAGTCCTTTGCGTACACACGCCCCCACCTGCACCTAATTTCCTTTGCGTAGTCTATTACCCGACCCAGTCTACCCGTCTTCCCAACCTAGGTACTGCTGTCGCTTCTAGAACAGTGTTGTCAAAGTCCATTAAGCTAGTATAATAGTGTAAGAGCCAATAAGAGAGTAAGGAAATCATTATAACCGCGCGGTACCTAGTTTCAAACTAAGCATGCGATGTTTTCTAGAACAGTACAGACAGAGGAGAGCTCCACTACATAAAAGAAAAAGTCAAATAACCGTAACAAGCCAATATCAGACCCAGAAGTCTACATTGCCTGTACGTAAGACTAAACTACTCTTTTCCAAACTCATGTAGACCGCAGACATCATTCATTCTCCCTCAGCCATGCCTCCACCCAGCGGTTCCCCCGCTCCACCACAATCTCACAATTAAAGCACAGTCGAAGTATCATCTTATATCCCATACCCCTCATACGCAATAATACTAGGAATAGAGAGGCTGCGCGATTCTCAATCTCCCGCATAGTAGGCCATCTAGGGAACAGATCCACAATAATCGTAATAGTTGTGCCTAGTTTAAGACAGGTAAGATGCTTCAATTCTTTGCAGATGGCCTCGCGCATCAAGGGGGCTTCCAGGGGTTCTGTAGTCACATAGACTCGTCTGATAAGTTGCACTGGATCAATGCCAGCGCTCCATGGGTACTTCTCCAGGGAGGGACCGAGAAGTGCGGCATCCGTGACAATGAAATTTGACGTTCGAAACCATGCCTCGATAAGCTCAGTCCTTATCGCAGAGTCGTTGATATATCCCGGCTTGAGTAGATAGCTGTAAGGATAGTGTCTTCCAATATCTGACTTCTCACAGACCGGAGTGTCGTCATCGTCATCGGCTTCGGCATCCTTCGCTTCCAACAGGACATACGTGCCGTGAAAGATATATCCAAAGACCATCTCACGGAGCTCCTTCGGTAAACGATCCCGTATACTCTGGAAGAGCGCACGGCAACGTGGACCTTCTTGGATCATGATGCGTTCGTCGATTTCGGCAGCAAGTCGGGCGAGGATATTCGAGAGGCTGTGATCCGCTGCATCGAAGGTTTCGCACTCTGTTGGCGTGGCAAATTTGAATTTGCCATTCAGCTTTGGCACATAAGCCAGAAATTCTGCACGCCCTCGGTAGTCTTCGAGCCATGCGCTTGCGCTGGGTTGTGTTAGCATGTGTCTTCACGACAAAGAGATCGTGTTATATACTCTCTAAGGTAGTCGTGGTACTCTTCCTCTTGAGGGTCATCGTAGCTATCAACAGGATTGTCCCCATAGAATGAACCTGGGTTGCGTCTCGAGACTTGTCAGCTGCCATATCTGAAGCCGAGTCATAGCTACTCACTGGTGTGCCATACTGTTCAGCGCAATATCGTCGCAAAGCTGTGTTGCAGGTTGAAAGGTGGAAGCAAAAGACGCCTTCGTGGTCAAAAAAGGAAGTCAAAAGGCAGATGGCAAAACGAACTAAAATTGTATTCTCTTTACTCCGGTAACGTTGGGATTGTAGAGCTTGTGGGTGGCTTACCGTCGCCGGAAGTCATTACAGTACCAGTGGACGAAGTGGATAGCAACCAATGTATGCGCTATGGCCCATGGTAGCGACGGTAAATTCGAATTGCGCACTCGTTTCGGTCGCAGGCACATTAACAAGCGCATATATTCCAAGGCGCTGGACAGCGGCCTCCCCATATGATATAACAATAGAATACCATCCCAGAGTATTCATCCGTGTCATGTGCGCCTCACAACTATACCCTACTTCCCCCTACGTGTCCTCAACACCCTCCCCCCTCTACTCTCATCGCTCTCCACAGCACCACTATCCCCACTCTTTGCTTCTCGTCTAGCTCGCCCCTTGTTTCTTACCCTATCTTCTGTCCTCGAGACCCTGCTGCGTCTACCAGCGTTCCCCTCAGAACCTCCACTTTGCTCTTCCTCACCTTCCGTTTCGCGCTTTGCCAGCGTCTCATTCTGGACCCGCTCTTCTATCCTCAGAATCTTGATTCGCCATATGCGCTGCTCCATGCTCAACTTCAGTTCTTCTAATTCACGCTTCTCTGTTGCCGTTGCATGTACAGGGAGTTCAGGCAGAGAGTCGAGTAGGTTCATGGCTTCGATCTTGGCTTCTTCCGTGGCATCGATGTGTTCGTGCGTTTCACTATCCGGTGCCGGGTTTTCTGCGTTGTACAAAGCCAGGTCTTCGTCATCGTGCGCGTCGGGTATGGTCGCAGCCTCTTCTTCGTCTTCTGCAGCAGACATACCGGGTGGTTGCGTCGGAGTCGGAACTTCAAGAGTGATGTTATCGTTATCCAGCTGCCAGTGCGGTTCCCTAATTTTTTGCTGCTCCAGCCTCGAAAGCCGCTTCTTCCTCTTCCTGCTCTTCTCCCTCGCTTCATTGCCTTCAAGATCTGAGAGGAAACCAGTGTCATCAGGCACCCGGGGGTCGGGGTCTTGATGCACTAAAGTCGGTAGTTCGATTGCTTCAGGGCCAGCAACCGCGTCTTCATTTGCTTTCCGTCTCTTGCCTCTTGGTGGTGGTTTAGGTCGCGTTGGCTTCTTCACGGCGGATGCATCAGGGTTCAGGTTGACTTTGACGGGTCGAACGCCAGAGAGGTACTGGTATTTTCCGCCGGCGAGCGGTTCAGATGAACCTTCTTCTTCCTCCTCTTCGTCTTCGTCGTCGTGATTTACGGGTGTTTTTGGCACCTGTATACGGGTATTCCGGGTTGTGCGGCCACCTTCTCTTTCCTTCGCGTCTGACTCCGGACTTGCTAGCCCAGCTCCCATCTCCTCGGCATCTCTTACATATTGTTTCAGAACCGCCTTCAGATCTACAGCTTTGACCCGGCTCGATCTGCCAGCCGCCGACTTGTTCTTCTGTTGACGCATCTTTACAACTTCCTTCAGTCTTCTCGTGAAGTCTGGGAGAGTAGCGCCAGGTAGTGATGAGATCTCGCTTAAAAGCATAATGATGTCGGCACCCCATTGAGGGAAAAGGTCCTGGGGCCATAGTGGACGTGGAATGCAGTCTTTGGCGAATTCGAGATGCCAGTTGGTCATGATGGTGGTGACATGTTGTTTCAAGGACCTTGGAAAGATACAGGTGAGCTCTGATTGGATGGCTTTCGATAGATCGAAATCTTTAGAAGGTGCCATATTCGCGTCTGGGAAGAAAAGTCGTAAATCGTGTTGGTGTTATTGAATAGTCGAGTGCGAAACATAAGGATTGTGAGATGGAGGAGATGGAATTCGTACTTCTGGCGCGTGTGGAGGCAGCATCGTGGTTTGGGGTGAAGACATCGAATGAAGCGGCAAGTGCAGTATTTCCAGGGTAAAAAAGGCGGTCAATGCTCATTGCCGTCAGCCACGCCGACTCGAAGAAGCTAGCAGCAACCTGCAGTTATATCAGACTCCTGCGAGTGGCTTCCCCACGCGTGCGTTCTAGCCTTTGAAGGCATTTGCATTGTCCCTACCGTCGCAGTATGCCGGGGAAGCTCAGAGGATTGTTTACTGAAGAGTGGGTCTGATGATGTCATCAGATTATTTTAGGCGGGTTTTGGGTTTAAACTATTGCGGTAAGCTTGGATTCGATAGATTGGCTGCGCAATTGCTGATGAACATTGAGATGTGTCGTATCTTCTGAATTCCGCACACTCAAGCTTTCGTCTAGAGACGCCTCCAGATGTTGTACAAGTCGTGTCGCGTATATGATACAGGTATAGCACAAAGCTGAGGAGAGTGTGAACGCCGCCCGCTGCCGAAACCTGCCTGCGGTATATGCCAAACATCCCAAAAACACCGCTTGCCCAGACATCAGACATGTCGCTGCCCGCCCGTGGCCTGATAACGGTTCGCTCTGAAGAGGTATAAATCGTGAATCGAAAACGTTTTACGCGGCCACAGCCATGCCGCCGCCGCCAGATGGTGCACCCACGTCGGCTGGTGGTGGTGGGGGCGCATCGAGCCTTGTGTTGTCGGCCATCATGCGGTTGAAGCCAATTGAGACACCCTCGATGACAGCCAGCAGGATAGCACATGATATCGCGCCGTTGCGCATCGACCGGTAGCCTCCTCGTACTGCGAGCGAGCCACCTGTGAAGAATCCTGCGATGATGGCGTTCCACGGGTCCTCCTTCTTCCGTATTCCCTTGACTGCGCAGTCGTATGTGTTGAAAAGTCCTCCCCAGACTCCGAAGTTGCCGCCGAGAACAGGCGCGCGGGCTTTGATCGCTGTGATGGCGCCGATGCGTCGCTCGCCGTAGGGTGAGTTACGGAACTGTAGATTGTAAGCGCAGGTCTTTCTAATGTCAAAAAGATACTTACACCCTTCACACCATGCCATACTGCTCCTCCGACAGCCTAATGCGGTATCAGTATACGGGCCAGAGATGCAGCGCTGGTGGGGACATACACCCATGGCAAAGGCACCGCCAAAGTCATTGAGAATGACCCAGGGACAGGGATCGCGCGAATGATCCATTATGTATTATTAGAGGATGGGATATGTTTTGGGCGATTCCGGGGGTGAGGAGAAAGCGTGGGCGAGCTCGTGGTCGGACGGTAGCCACCGGTGACGATGTGCTTCGATGGAATTTCTTGAGGACCCTTGCTGCTTTGGCGCTAGCGGCAAATCTTCGGGACTGGCCCGACCACCTCTGCCGTCAAACCTCCTTCCGTGTCTCGTCACTCACCATCAGAACCACCTATGCGGCGTCATCTTCTCGCTTGTTTGGATTCATATGCTACCTTCTCTGTCATTTGTCAGCCATAGCAGCTCTGTCGAACGATGGAGCTACAAATCGCTCCTCCGCGCAGCACCCATCGCCTGCGACTGTGCACTTAGCACGTCCAATGAATCTATACTGCAACATCCAGACCAATTCGTCGCGAAGTCTACTAACACCTCGTACAAGAAAAAAACTAAGCAGGCCTGCAGCCTACATTAACGCTAAGCTACCTGTCTTGTAGAGTTTTAAGTTAATATAAACTGCAGGCCTGTTTAGGTTTATTCTTGTACGGCGTGCTACGTCTATTCTGTGATAGTAGCAGCTATTCGGCATCTGGGTGACGGTTCTACTCTGTCCGCCTCTTTCTCGCGCGATGCGTTCGCGGCTTCTTCGTCAACTCTGACTATTGTCGTTTCCATATCTTCAGCATCAATTCATTGCCCCATGTGTTCGGGGCTATGTGCATAGCCTCCGAGGTGAGAGTGTGACCTGGACATCACTCTCAGACCACGTACAAAAGAGATGGTTTCTCGACAGAGTTCTCAGACCTACATGCAGGTAACGTACAAGCATCTGTCGTCCATCCAACTCATGTCTTCTCCTCGCTGCAAGCTGAGCTCATGCGTATCATGCATTCACCGCTCACCGCTCCAGAAGTGGTACCAGACTCGCGCTCACCACGACATTTCTGCCCTCTCGCCCTGGAGCTGCTACGCTCGTCCAATGGTTTCCATTTGCGTACTGCTCCTGGACCCTGCTTTGGAGTCTGTGTCACCTCGGATTACTGCCTAGAGTAAAGTCTTGGCGCTCGCGCTCCCGTTGTTATCAACTTTGTAACCACGCTCCTACACTTACTTACCTCTTACCTCTACACCATTTGACTTCCAGTATAACCTGTCAAAATGGTGGGCGCTACTCGCCGCGGCGCACTGAAGGAGACCATCAAGCGTCCGGTCACCCCCAGCGACGATGGCACGATTGCGGACGCACCGCTTGAAGGTACTACCAATGCCGACACACAACAACCGGTACTCCACCCCGCGCGCGACGACGTATCGCGACTGAGTGAGGGCCTTGAGCCGCTTCACCTGGTCGGGCAAGATGGTGAGTTACAGACTACAACCCGGAGCTGAGTACTCATCACTTACTACTATCCAGATCCACAGCATACATACGACGCTTCCGCAGCAGCAGAGATTGATCCGCTTGGACAACAAGTCAAGGAAGTGATTGCGACAATCAATCGACTGGAGGGCCTTGGCCTACAGAGGCTGAAGATACCTCTGCCGAAATGTATCGTCCTGGGTACGTCTTGCGTAACAGTATCTACTTGCTCTGTACTAATATCGGCGCCAGGCGAGCAGTCTACTGGTAAATCTTCTGTTATCGAAGCTATCTCCGGCATCAAGACGCCGAGAATGGATGATACATGTACCAGATGTCCACTCTTCATTAAGCTCGAGCCTTCCGATAATACTCGCGCCAGCTGGAGTGCAAGTGTTAGTCTGCGACGGACTTTCAACTACGATATCAACAAGGTCCGAGGATCCGAGTACCGGTACCCTGGCTGGCTCGAGATGGATCGGCCAAACGTCGTGCATTTTGCGGATACAGAAAACCCGCATGAACTCGAGGAAATCATCGCACGCGCTCAACTGGCCATCATCAACCCTATGACGCCCTACACGGAGTTCCTCGGATCAACCGTTACTGCGCTTCGAAAGAAACCACACTGCGACTTCAGCCCCAACATCGTCTGCATCGAAATCTCTCACCCGGACGTTCCTTCTCTCAGCTTCTACGACTTGCCAGGCATCATCAACCAAGCTGAAACCGTAGACAAGGAATACTTGGTTGAGTCTGTTCGAAACATTGTGATGGACTACGTCAGCGACGAGGAATCTCTCATCCTTGTGACCTGCTCGTTAGACACAGACATCGCCAACTCAACGGCAGGAGGCATTGCGCGGAAGCTGGGCGCTACAGACCGATGCATTGGTAAGCGTAGTCAACTCCCATGATGGAAGTCGTACTAACAAGTTCAGGTGTCCTCACCAAGCCAGACCTTATTCCCGACGGTTCCCGCCACGACAAACTCCTGGAGGTCTTTGACGAGAAGCGCTTTGCATTGGGACATGGATACTTCGTCGTCAAGAATCTGAACCAGGCAGAGATGAAGCGCGGTTTGACCCATACGCAAGCTCGATTCGAAGAGCACAAGTTCTTCAGTCAAGGAACGCCCTGGTCAACTGCGTTCAGCCACTATCAACACCGATTCGGTACACTGAACCTGCAAAGCTTCCTTTCCGGGGAGCTTGCTGCTCAGATGACGAAAAAGCTTCCAATCATCGACCAGGAGATCAATGCCAGGCTGGAACAGGTCCTAGCCGAACTTAGAAAATTCCCAGATCCTCCTACGCACAACGCCCCTAGAATCATCTCGGACGTCGTACTCGACTTCTCGCACAACGTACGTAAGGAGCTTGAGGCCGAATTCCCTTGCAAGGCGTGGCGCAACAACTGGAAGACACTGCAGAAAGGGTTCTTCGATGCCCTCGCTAGCATGAAGCCCACGATGTCTACAAGCGGAAGCAGGGATGTGACCGTCTACATCGACGTCCTGGGAGTGCAGCCTGGCAGCTCCGCCAGTAAAGCTATTGCTGTAGACGACGATGATGATGACGATGAGGACTACGTGGACGATGGAGATCGCGATACGCCGATGTCTAGCAACCCCGAGACGCCTACAAAGAAGCGCAAGTTCGGCGATACTCCAGGTCCCTCACCAGCTAAGACTCCCAGCCGTCGCGGTCCCCCAAAGACCCCCGAAGGCAAAACAGCGATGCCAAGCACGGACTTCAGCGAGCTCAGGAAGAAGTTCCTCCTTGATCAAGTCACGCAACATTTAGCGGAGAACTCTCAGAGCAAAGTGCCCGGGCAGATCGAACCGCGCGTCGTCGATAACATGATGCTCGAGACGCTCGAACATTGGTCGCAACCGCTTCACGAGTTCTTCAACACGCTCGAAGGTCAGATCGTCGATCAAATCAAGGTCGTGTTCCACAAGCACTTTTCCAAGTACCAGGGATCGATCTTCTGGCGCACTGCTTGGGAGATCGTTGAACAAATGGTCAGCTTGAACTTTACTGAGCAGCGCAGCACCATGGCCAACGAGAGTCTAAACGACGAGAAGGAAGGCCCTTTCATCTTTCACGACGAGATGTTCGAGATTGAGAAGGAAGCGGTACTAGAACACTATCGTCAAGCTCGGTTCAAGGCCCGTCTCAACATCTACAAGCGCGATAGATTGAAGCGGACAGGGAAAGAGACTACCCCGCAAGAAGAAGACAGGATGAGGAAAGATGCCAGGGTCATGGCGGTGTTGAACCATGAGCCCTACGTCGTCGAGCTCGGAGTTGTCGCACAGGTTACCACGTACTACATGCTAGCAGCTCGCCGCTTCCACGACGCTGTGTGTATGAGGATCGAGTCGAAGTTCTTCAAGCAGCTTCGCACCCAACTCCGCGACGAACTTGAGGGTGGGCTGGGCATGAACGACGGCAGCCAAGGTAAGCCTCGTTCTCTCTCACTACGTGAGCATCATACTGATTTCCACAATGCAGCCTACGACAACGCCGTTCGCCTCCTCTCCGAATCCCCACAACGTTTCAATTTACGCAAGGAGCTCAGCGGTCAGCGTGACTCTTTGCTCAAAGGCCAAGAGATTCTGCGTGACCTCCAGAACAAGAAGTACGGTACCGCCAAGTCTTCTGCCGCAACCAACGGTGGCTCGCACACTCGTCGCTCCAGTGCTTCCGGCGGCATACCTACACCAGTGTCGGCAGAGATGGCGGACGTGAATATGACAGGCGTTCCGCGTCACTAGTCTGGTGGTTGTACATCTGTGGTTATTGCCTTGTTATGGGTACGATACGATGCGCGAAGCTTGCGACGTTGGTGGACAAGGAGCACTGTTTGCAGGAAGGTCTCTTTGGTATACGCACGGGCGGACCAATGGTCAAGCGAAGCACTTGCATATCATGAGTATTGTCGTCATGAATCATTTCTGGCGGCGTTGACTGACGACTAGCCGTCGCGCGGACGCTCATGTATAACGAAGTATGCGTAACCAAAGCATATTGTGTATTCATTCTGACTTGCTAATATGATACGTGAGATGTAAGTGTATGTCAACATTCTAACACTTTAGTCTACAGATCTTGAGAAAGGAAGAGGCGCTACTTATGACGTCCGCGAGATGGTGTGGATATACACTTCTGCTACTCTAGGCTACCCTTCCGTTCTCGTCACCTTCTCCGTTACCCTCTCCTTCCCTAGCGCCCGCTTCGTCGTCTCCACCTTCCCCAGTATCCTCTTCTCGGCGCCGCTCTCGCCCGCCTTCTGCACCTCTCTCATCACCACTCCGTCTCTGCCCGCGCTCATCCCCACCCGGCCCAACCGTCTCACCCACTCTCTGCGGTCTCCTGAGACGCATCGCTTTCCCGTATGCCAGAGCAAGACGATGTTCCTGCTCAGTAACATTTAGTCTGAGGATGTCTTGCTGTAGCGGATCTTCGTTCTGAAGAGCAGCTACCACACGCCGAGCTCGCAATACCCCGAGACTCGTTTCTTCGGTAGATACTTCGTCCCAGGCTAGTCGCAGTGCGTGTGATTCGGCCTCGGTGCGTGCGGTGTAGCGGGGGTGCAGGGGCTATTGATGTTCAATGTGCGTCGGCGATTGAGGTGCTTGGGGGCCTGGCTGGGGCTCTGGCGGCGCTGGGTCATTTGGAAGGACGGGCTCGGGCTCGTCTTGCTGGAAGTTGGGTGATGCTGGAGTTGGCGAAGGTACACGTTGCTCCGACTGCTGCTCTGAAATTGAGCTTCGCTGTTCAGCTGCTTGCTCATCTGGGAGAGGAGCTGGTGTCTCGATTTCATCTGGATCAGCAACGTCGCCTCCTTCCTGCTGGACTGCAGACGCTGAGCGATCCCTAGTCGCGGCCTTTGCTTTGCTGCCCGACTGAGCGGTGTTTGATGCTCCACCAGCTGATGGCCCGCCTGTTCCAAGTGCACCAGGAGGTACTTTCAGCTTAACTACCAGTGACTGTGAAGAGTTGTTTCCTGCTGATTGAGCCCTTCTACGAGCTTCCGCTGCGACACTCGCTCTAGTTCTGCGCCTGTCAGTCCCCTGGCTTTGGGCTTGGTTTGATCTCGTGCCGGTTGGCGCTGGCGCAGCAGTAGAACTGGCTGGCCGCTTCTCAGCATCTTCAGCTTCGGCTTCAGCCCCTGGACCCTCGCCATTTTTTTTGTCGTTTGCTGCAGCTAGCCTCTTACGTTTTTCTTCGGCCGCTTCCTGACGTCGTCTTTCCTTTTCTTCCTTTGCTCTTCTCTCTGCCTCAGTATGATAGTCCTGACCAGTGATTGTTATCCTGCGATGGAGAGACGCCAGGTCATACTCGTCCATCTCTCTCAGGTGTGCTTCGAGTTCATCTCTGATCTCTTCACCCTGCGCGTGGGTAGCACTAACCTCGGACAAGTCGCGAAGCAGCTCGATGACACTCAAGTCGATACCTTTGTCGTCGCTAACATCGTCTTCGTGCAGCCTGGCGTGGAAGTGCCCGTGCAGCGAGCTTATCTGCCAGTTATGATATATGCGTCGGAGTGCGGCGTCTCTTTGTGCTGCCGATGTTATACTGGTAAGAGGATTCCCGTTTTTGTCTGTCTTTTCTGCATCGTTGGCCTTCTTCTTTCCCTTTCCCGTTCCTTTTCCTGTCTTCTTGATTGGTTCGGTCGAGGGTATCTCATCCGGAGATGAGTCGGAAGTATCCTCGTCATCTTCATCCACTGGTTCTTGACAGCTAGCCTTGGTCTTCGCTCTCTTCCGGGGTGTCGTCTTCCGCGGAGCTTTCCCCTTTCGTTTGGTTTTTGGTTTCTTCTCATTTTCTGGCTTCACCCATTCCCCTTCGCATAGCCTCTTCAGATCTTCGCGTATATTGGCCTGTTTCTTGTGCTTGGAATCACCTATAGGCCGTGCGCGTCCTCTGGTCCATCGTATCAGGTAAAACTGCTCTATTTGGTGTCTTATCTCTCGACCTTGACCCTTTGTCAACTCCGACAAGCTTCGGAACTGGCGAATTGTATCGATCTCGCAGTTCCGTTCTGTCAAGTGTTCTGTGGAACCCTGAAGCCAGTTGTTGTCTGCCATCCAGTCTCCCATTGTGGTAAAGTCTTGGCCCCAGTTTTGGCCTATGTCGGCGATCGCATCTGCTCGTTCCTGATCTTCCGCTTGTTGTTCAGCAGCCGTTAGGATGGGGGGTGGGGTTTTGGCGGGCGCTGGTTCCTCTGCATCGTTTGCAGAATTGATTGGGGCATTATCCGGCTGTTCTTCACCACCTGCATTTTCAGGCGAGTCGCTGAGCGTGTCATCCGGCAACTCGTCGAATAAGTCATCAAACTCATCTACCACTCTCTCAGACTCAGAACCATGATTCTCTCCGTCTTCCTCGGCATCACCCCACAATCTCCGCTGCATGGCCAACGCTATTGCCGCGTCCTGAGCGTTTCGAAGCCCAGCAGTATCGTCATCCATTCCTACATCATCCATCTCCCCAAGCGTTTCATCAAGTGACGGCGAGGTAGCTTTCTCTTTTCCTTTTGGCGACATGATTTGAACGACTGTCGATGATTGTGTCTTAGGTCACTGTAATTGAGACTGCATTTAGTGAAGTATAAGGTTCGATAGCTCCTCTCAATTTTTTACTCCCCTCCTTTGATGCTCATGTTTGCATCTAAACAAACCCACTCTTTGACCTTTCCCATGCGCGTGATATCTAGTCAGTAATGCTTTCTCTTACAGCAATCTATAATCTAAACAATCGTATTTTGAATTGCGTCGTTATACTAGGGATGTTGCTGGCCGGCCGCATTGAACAGGCAAGGATAGCTCATTGTACCTTCTGAACATACTTACAAATCTGGTTGAGTCTTCACAGACTTTGATGACATCTATCGATGATTGAACAACTTTTTGAAGTCTTACTTCTACGATAGGAAGAGTGCGATATGAAAGTGTCTTGGTAGACACTGAAAGCAGATCCATCTGCCACTCTACCCTACTTTCCTCCTCAGTCCCCGTTACCTTCGCCGCCCTCGTCTTCTTTCTCCCCACTCTCTCCACCCTATGCACTCCTTCGCCTCTTCGCTGCTGGCCGTGACTCCCCCTCTTCCCCCGTATCTCCGACATCTCCCCGACGTATCCGCCGGAGCTCTTCCTCGCGCTGCCTGACAGCGTCCGTTCGCCCCTGCATCGCCTCTCTATTTCCCTGGACACTATTCGCCCTCGCTTGAGCCGTCGCGCGCTCTTGTTCTCTTAACGCGACTTCAAGGTAGGCTTCTGCTATGTCGAGTGCGGGTTGCCCACGAAGCGCAGCAATGTCACGCTGGATCTGCGCAACTCTAACGTTCGCCTCGCTGTTGCGCACTGCGTCTAGAGCTGAGACCAATTTGAATGTTGTGTCATTGTTTCGTATGGCGGCAGTGCGACGCGGGGGTTGCTGCTCAGCAGGCTGTGGTGGAGGTTGCGGTGGTTGAACTTGGCCTTGCGTGTTGTTCGCGCTTGATGACTTCCCAGGAACGTCCCTGGAACTAGCTTCTTCCTGCATGGTGAGCTGCTCAGGCTGTTTCGCTGTACCTTCGTTCCTGTTGTTGGATCTGGCCACCTTTTGGTCTTGGGTAGCTGTTGATGCTCCTGGTGCAGGCTGGGGTGCTCTGGGGATAACATTGGTGTTTCTTGCCCGTGGAGGCTGCGGTGTTGTCACAATCGCTCTAAGTCTGCCAGCCGCTGCTGCTGCTAATAAATCTAAGGCTGGAGCAGCAGCAGCTTGCTGACCACCCGCGGGAGGGATTGCGGAAGTGTTGTGGTTGCGCGGCGACCTGCGTGTAGTTGGTCCCTCTGTCTGCGGCTGGCCAGCAGCGCTCTGAATAGCTGATTGCCTTGGAATCTCGCCAGCTGCTCGCCCTGCATGATAATAAGGCTCGCCAACCCTCGCAATGTGGGCCACAATGTCTTCGTTAGTGTATGAAGTATCTCCCACCACCTGCACTTCTAGGTCTTGTCTGAAGGCAGCAAGTACATCTGGCGTACGTATAACATTGGAGAGATTGCGCAGAGCCGCGACGATCTCATAAGCCAGGTCTTGATCCTTGGTCGCTCCTACTGGTTGCAAAGCGTCAGGCAGGACATGCAGAAGCGAGGCGGTGTCCCAGATGATGTAGATATATTCGAGTGCGGCGTTTCTCTCCTCTTCGTTTTGTATTATGGTGACCGGAGGAGGCTCTTTCGCCGGACTTCCGTTGTCGACGTCTTCAGCCTCAGCAGCCTTTGCTTTTGCCTGTGCATTCTTCTTCGGTGGAGCTGGGTTCTTCTTCACTTTCACACCGGCTTCTGCGTTTTTCCTCGTGCCTGGGTCAGTTGCGGGTACCTCGTCGGGGCCTGAGCTAGACTCGTCTTCGCTATCTTGTCGTGATCCTGAACGAGTTGCACTTTTGTCGCCTGGTTTCTTGCTGCTGCCCTTCTTCTTTGCCATCCTCTTCTGATACTCCTCGAAGCTAATCTCTTCTTCCGACTTATACAAGTCGTCGTCGAGATCCACGTCGGAAGACTCATCAGTATCCGCTTTCTTCTTCTTCCTGGGTCTACTCGACTCTCCATCCTTCTCATCTCGTTCTTTCCGTTTCTTCGTATGCAAGGCCGAGATAACCGTCCTAAGATCATTGCGCAACCGGGGCTCTTTTATGACCCTCTGTGATCCTGTTCTTTTTCCGTGCTCATCGTGCTTTCTGTAACGGAGCGTCTTGGCTAGCCTTGACTTCGCATCGTCGAAGTCGTTTCGCGTTAACCGGGATAGGTCTCGGAAAAGGCGGAGGGTGTTTGTATCCCAATCTTTGTCTGGGATATTGGTCTTGCCGGAGAGCCACGTATCTTTGAGCGGTTTCTTCTCCTTCTCGTCGTACCCGGGCTCCATTATACTCCTTAGGCTTGAGATGTTCCAGTTCTTCTTGATCTCGTCGAGTAGGTCTCGTTTGGTCTCTCCGTCGTCATCGTCCTGGTCAATTTCCATATCGTCGACGGCTTGCTCCGGTACCTCTTCGACATCGTCCTCTGCGACCATTGCCTCATCTTCCTGCGCTTCTGCTACATCCTCTTCATCAAAGAAATTGAAATCGTCGTCATTCAACTCTGGATCTAAGTTTGAGGGTATGCCTGACATTTCGCTTGTATCTGGCTCTTGTTCTGGGTCTGGATCTGATGCGGCTGGTGCTGCGACTTTGTTCTCTTGGCTTTTGCTGGGTCTGACCTCTTTTGTCCTTGCCATGCTGGATTTAGTGTGTGGGTGTTTCGTTTGACGATACTCTAAAGGCTGGATGGTAAGATGGGTGAACAATTCCAACACGTCGTTACCTTTCCATTAATACACCCACCCATCGCTCCATCTCTTTCCACGTTTGCTCCATCAACAAACATTTTCCTTTATCCCTTCATCCCTGAAACCACTAGAACATCCGGGTCGCGAGAAGTAGTAGAGAGAGGAGAGGGGGGCCACAAGCTTTGAAAATTACATTATCAGTAATTCCCATTCCACGTCCACACATCTTGCGACCGTCAGTAATCATCCTTACTATCCCTTCGTCCATCCGTCCATCTCTCTATCCCTACCCTCAATAAAACCCCCCATACGCCTCCCATTCCTCCAAGATTAGATAAAAACCCTTATAAATGTACAAAGAACTCAGACTTCGAGACAGAAAAAGAGGAAAAAAAGAAGGCGTAGTTGGAAAAAAGAGGCTGTATAACCCTACTTCGCCCCCTCTTCCGTCTTCCATACGCCTTCACGCTACCACATATCATCGTCCCCCCTCTTCCCTCCCTCATCATCGCTATAATTACTATACCCCCCTCCTCCTCCCCCTCCTATCCCACCACCACCACCACCACCCCCTTTACCCGACTGTCCCAGATAGTTCTGCGTATTCGCTACACTATATCCACCACCTCCGCCATTCGCACTATGATTCGAGTGATGCGAATCACGCGGGTTCTGGTTATAAGAATTACCCTGCTGAGAGCCGCCTCTTGCATGTTGTTGCTGCTGTTGTTGCTGATGCTGGTGATGGCCGTTTTGTTGTTGTGAGAGGCCGCCGTTGGCTTGTTGTTGGTGTACGGAGGGCCATTCTTGTGAGGATTTTTCGGAGGATTGCTGTTCGTGCTGTTGCTGCTGCTACATTGCTCGTCAGTTTCTTTCTAAATACTTAATTTTGGAATGCCTCACCTGCTGGTACCGCTGATACTGAGCAAACTCCTCAGGCTGTGACTGTTGCTGCGGTTGCTGCTGCTGTACCTGCTGCTGAGATTGCTGAGCGGCCTGCTGCTGATGTTGCTGCTGTTGCTGCTCCTTCTTCTGCTGCGCGGCTTGTTGCTGTTGCTGAGCCTGTTGAGCTTGCTTTGCTTGCTTGGAGTTGCCGATGGAAATCTGCGGGTGCATTTGCTGGACCTTGGCGAGGTACGAGTACATGAAGTTGGACAGCAAGACTTGGGAGTAGAGTTCGCGGCGGGGGTTCGCAAGCTTGATGTGGGCCATGCGGTATATCGCGCGCTCTTCTAGGATCGAAAATCGGGTCCAGTTGTAGTCGATATCGGGTTTCAGGATGCGTGGCGGGGGCTCGGGCGATAACCCACGTGAGGCGTTCTTCTTGTGAGATGACTCTTTCTCGCCCTTCTTCTTTCCTCCTCCGAAGATGGAAGACAACAGTCCAGGCTCCTTCTCTTTCTTGCCTTCGCTGGATGTTTTTCTGGCGCTCTCCTTCTTCCGCTCTTCTTCCAGCTTGACGCTTTCGCGATCCAGCACTACGCTCTCGCGACCACGACCGCCGCCCTGTATCGATGTCTGCAGGAGGTCCAGTCTCGTGTCATCGTGGCCCTTGTCCTTCTCCTTCTCCTGGGACTTGCTGAGCTTGTTCTTGACCTTCTTCGGGGCTTCTTTTTCTGAGTCTTTGTCTTTTGACTTCTTGTCTTTTTCCTTCTCCTTATCGCCGCCAAACCAGCCCCAACTCGTCTTCCTTTGGCCGCCTTCAGAGCCATCCTTGTCCTTCTTATCTTTGGCCTTCGGTTCGAGCTTCTTCTCTTCTGGCGCGTTCGGGATTATGGATAACGAATCGACCCTGTTGTTCTGGCCGGGCATCGCTGAAGGATGTGCTACTAGGTCATCGAAGGATTGCGCGGGCTTGATCGGTGACGACTGAGCAGCTTGTGCATGACGGTTCGGTCGACTTGACGACTGGGGCTGGCGCTGTTGTTGGGGAGGTTGCTGCTGAGGTTGAGGATAATGGCGTGGGCCTGCAGGTTGTTGCTGGGCTTGAGGCGGAGGTTGGCGGGAGGAGTGACGTTCGGGTAGCTGAAACTGAGGTGTTCGGTTCTGTTCTTGTGGCGGTGGTGTCTCGATGATCTGGGGTACCTGCTGCGGCGGAGGTGTGTAGCCTGGCAAAGGTGCAGTCGTGCGGCCGTTGGAGGCGATTCTCGAGTGGAACTGCCTGGGCTGCGGCGAACTTCGCTCCTGCTGTGAGATAGGCTCTGTAGAAGCTGACCTGGGGTACTCCTCCGACGAACCAGGTCTCTCGCCGCCATAGCTGGGAGATGCCCGCTTTGCCCCAGGTCGCGAGAAGTTGTTGGACGAGCCTTCAAACGCCGAGTTAACGGGTTCCGACTGAACGCGGTTGAGACCTGGGAGGGGAGGGACTTCGGGTATGCTCTCGGTGGAGTGGACGGGCGAGGTGGACGGGGAATCTTCCGTGTCGGTGTCTCCTTGTCGACCAGAGACGAGTCGCCGTGAGAGGGGCGGGCCGCCTTTCCGCAGACTGCCTCGTCTGTACGTAGTGTGGGTTGATCTCTTGAGCGTGCCCAGACCACGCATCTTGCTACCCGGCACAATGGGCATACCGTCGGCGCCCTCTTCCCCTTCCCCCGACATGCCCTTTTGATCGATGCTCATCCGTCTTATCAGAGCCACCGGGTCCTCCTGTATGTGCTCGAGCTCCTGTAGGTTCGACAAGCCCCCGTTGGGCTGCGCGCCGGATCGCTTCCTCTCCAGCCTCTCGGCGCCGTCCTTGTAGCCAGAGCCAGTATCAATCTGCCTGGACAGCATGGACTTCTTCCGCCGCAGCCCTCCACCCGAGCCCTGACGCCCCATGGCGCCATCCGGAGATAGCGAGTCTGAGTCTCCGGAGCGTCGTCTCGTCCTGTCAATCTTGTCTTCAATGAACGTCTTGAACTCCATGGGCGCCAGCTCGGGGTGCAGCCGTGCGGGTACCCAGAAGAGTTTCGACTCGTCCTCTTCCGACATGGCCGGTGGGGAAGGCGGTGAGTTTGCGGACTGGAACGAAGGTAGATCGGGATCGGCATTGTTAACGCCCATGGACATCCTCCGTATGGCCTGCAGGTTGCTCAATTCCTGGGCGAGGCCCGCCGGGCTGTTCTCGTAGTCGAGGTTGTTCAGCGGGAACTGGTGCGACGCCGTGTTCGAGTTCGAGCGGGACAGCGGAGGGGACATCTGGCCGCCGTTCGACGGGTGCCGGGCGACCGAGGCCCGCTTCTGGGCCATGTTGGCGGTGCCATTGGGGCTCGTGGGCGTTTGGGGCTTCTCGAAGGACATCTGGGGACGCAGCGGGGACCTCGCGGGGGGCGCGTTGGGGAAGGGGTCGAAGGCCTCGAAGGCGCCAAAGGACTGGATCGAGTCGCCGTTGGGGCTGGGGACGAAGCTTAGGGGTCGGAGGCTGCGGCGGTTGGGGGCGTCGGTGTCGCTGTCGCCGCCGTACATGTCGCCTATGGCCTCGGTGACGTGGTGGCTGTCATCGCTGATGGATATCTGCGGCGCATGCCCCCGGCGCGGGCCTGGGTTTCGCATCTGATATAGGCGGTCCAGCTCTCTGGCTCTGTCGGTTGCCTGTGGGGTACGAGACTTGGTCAGCTTGGGGGCTCCTTGGAACGTCGGGTTGGCGCCGCGGGCCTTTGCCGGGGAATAGGGAAACGAAACAATGGCGACCTCAACTGTCACCACAGTATTTGGTAGATGTTTGCCTGAGGCTACTAGGTAGACATGCGCTACTCACCATTTGCGAACCTCAGAGAGTGCGGAGGTGCGGGTTAGCACGATTGCCACGGCTTGCTTAGGGCGCCGAGGCGGTGCGGGCATCCAAGGGCCCAAGGTTTGCGAGGCGGACGGGTCGGGCGTGTTGGTGCTGCGGCGAAGGAGTATCAAGCACCATGGTCTCAGGGAGAAATAGTAGAGGTACACATTCGCGCCGTGATGCACATGTCCAGCCAGCACCCCAACTAACTGCAATGTCACTAGCCCGGAGCGCGCCCAAGATGCACGACTCGGCGCCCTCCAGCTGCTCCGCCACACAGGGGGGCATCACCACAAGCCGAGTGTACGTCTGCCAGCAGCCGCCCTCAACCCGCCAGACAGCCAATCCATGTCCGCCTTACCCAGCCGGGCGACTTCGATACCGCATCCAGGGTCCTGCTCAAAAACAACTAGACACCGTTTCAACGTCTACACCCAAAAGGAACCTCTACTGAACTTTTCACGGTTTCGGCAGCACGCGGGTGTTCATGTTGTCACCGAATGTGATGCGTGCGAGAGACAAGAATAGCCGTCTCGTCTCAGACTACTCGCAGATCCCCGGACTAAGTCACGGAAGTGCACCATGAAGCACGTCGCTAGCCCACACCATTGTCAAGCGAGCTGTCACCCTCCCTCGCTCCCAGCCCAACATCGTGATCCCATGCTAACTCACCGATATCATCTATCCACATATTGGCGCTACTCCCCGTCAGGCCGAAGCGCCAGGGGTAAATGTCCCTGCGTCTAGCTATTCGCTCGTGTCGCTGAGACTTGTCTGTTGTACAACGTAGCCGCACGCCAAGGTGATGTCATGCTTAAGCGCTGACCCTCCGCGCTGCCATTATCGTGACTGCTGCATTGCCATCATCTCCGAAGCTTGGATTATTCCTATTGCGAGTAGTTTGTCTATAGGGGTGGGAGTGGTGTGCTGCCATGGTATATACAAGAAGCAAAGATTCACATTCATGCCTGGCCCCTGGTCTCAGGTCTCAGGTCGATGCGCTGCTGCGTCTCCAGACAAACATCGCCGAGGCCACTGCACACGTGACAGCCCCCAGCGCTAGGTAAAGATTGAGATAATCGTAGCCGTCCTCTTCCTGCTTGGGGAAGGCTGTCGAGGGGTGGGTAGCGCTTTCAGCCAGCTATACGACGTTAGCTCGTGGAATTAATCAAAGGGCGTAGTACGTACGTGAACAAACAGCTCCGATATGCTGTTCCATGTCGTGCTGACGTGCAGTGGCGGTGCCATTCTCAGGGCGCTGGTGTACTCGTCGGGCTGCTGCTCGCACCGCTGCATCGTCTTGTCCTGGTCTGCCTTCAGGGCTGTGTAAACCGCTGGTAGTTGGTCGAGATGGGGGTACTTCTTCCGCAGTTCGACAACATGCGCAAAGCTCGTGGGGTCGCTCGAGTCGTAAGTATAACACAACAGATCGCACGCGTCTAGCTTGGCCTGATTCTCTAAAATCGCGGGTTCGAGTTCACCGAGCTCCTCTAGGATCAGATAGCATTGCTTGCCACCTTTCAACTCCACGCTGTTGACTGCCGAACGCGGTTTTATCGTGGGATGGTAGGTGTGGCTGAACGGTCGCTGGAGGAAGGCAGACAGCAATGAGCTCTTTCCACTCCCGCTCGACCCTATGACGTAGCATAGAAAGACGTTGCGCTCGACGCGGCCAGGCTTCTTCCGTCGCTTCCTAGCTTTGGTCACCTTGAGTGCGCTGGTTGTGCCTCCGCGCTCGCCGCTCTCAAATCCGAGGTATGCCAGATATGCTAGAGTCGTCTTGGGCTCTTCAAAGGTAGTCATGCTCCATTGCGCGAGCCAACCCTGTAGTGTGATGTATCCAGCTTCGTTGCGCACTGTGCACGATGGGAACGACGAGTCCACCCAAGATGTCGGCATGCCGGGGGTGGGTGCGAATAGATTCGCGAGTTCTCTGTCGTTGAGTCCTCCGTCATTATCCATATCAAACTTGAGGAACAGATCAACGAAGAAGCGGTAGCCGGACGGGCTGAGTTCGGCGGAGGAGAACTGAGGAACGTCGAACTTGGGGTGGAGGAACGTGTCCTGGAGACTGAGACTGTCGGTGTAGTGGAACTTCCGCAGTATGATCCAGATGGTTTCGTGCCGCCCCTTCTCCGCGAAGATCTTGTTCAGGAGTAGGAACCCCTTCTCGTCCATGCCATGCTCGCCAGTTAGACCAGGAGCAAAGCGCTCCATCGACCTCTTTATGTTCATCAAGTCGTCGTCCCCCAACGGTTTCTCGAAGCACTTGATCTGGAAATCGTGGATCTCCTGATCGTTCCAGTACCCATCTTTGTCTGTGTCGCATAGATGGAAGACGCGTTGCAGTGCAGACACGGCTGCGGGCTTGAGTGCGTTCTCTTTGGAATCGTATAGCGGGGCTATCGGGTGTGTGACGGCCTTTTGGCAGAGAAAGAAGACCTCATTGATGTTGTGGTGGTCCTTGGCGCTGGTGCGGATGCAGGAATCGATCTCCTTGAACTCGTTCATGACGGGCAGCATCTCCTCCGACACGACTTGGGATGTTGTGCCATTCGAGGCTATGTCGGACTTGTTCGCGCACAGCACCACTGGCACGTTGACGCCTAAGGAGCGGAAGTAGGGCATCCAGAACAGCGCCACCCGCTCATAGCTGTAGTGGTCTGAGTATACGAGGAGTATTACGTTCGACTTTCGGAGCTCTGTGCGGAGAGTGTGTCGTTCGTGGGGGAGGGCGGAGGTATCGACGATGGTGGTGGTGACATTGTCGGGCGTCCCAAGCGTGGGCGGGAGCGTCACCTGTGGCAGGACGGGCTGGATTTTGGCTGTGACGAAGACGTCCTTGACAAGAGACGTGATGATGGAGCTCTTGCCGACGCCATCGTCACCGCAAAGACAGATTCGTACTGCGCATGTCAGTGAGTGTGTTGTCGGGAGGGCGCTCCACATACCGGTCGCCATTTCTCGGCGGCATTATTGGTGCATTTGGGCAGGTGTGAGGAATGTAGTGGAGGCAGAGAGTAGTTAGGAAACTGGGTCGGACCTGCCGTGAAAATATTCAGACTTGTGCAATGTTCACAGCACTCCGAGCGATTCGTGGTCAGGGCAGCACCAGCGGCTGTCAGAAGGCTTGGCACACGTGGGAGACGATCGCAGCCCTGGAGCTTCCCCGCCAGCAGCCCCGCAAGATTGGCTGCTGGGAGGTGCAATGCGTCGACCGTTGTCGAGTGGCCCTGCAGATAGGCCGGACCCATGTCATCCCTCGTCCTCTCCACCAACGGCCAGCGGCATGGCAGGCAATTAATAAGACTGCCCAGTGCACGGAGCCATAAGGCGCCCGTCTCGTCTCCGCTTTCCACTTCCCCAATGGTTCCATGGCCCGCGCTCCCATGCCAGTCCCAGCCTGCCTGCCGCGGGCCACAAGCTTCCTTCTCCGCGCGCGCCCAAATTGACGTATCCTGCCTCTTCACACGCCGATGCCATAGCCGCGGTACTTGCTGGTGCTAATGTCTTACCCTTAACTCTACCCTGCCACTCCTAGCCAGGCACCGCGACTCCACCAGGCCGTAGTTAGCCCGCAACTGATTACACTGCAGCAGCTATGTTGTGAGTACCTGTCCTATCTCGAGCTGACCGCCAGTCGCCCACCAATGGCAGCCCTATCGTGCTCCACCCCCATCGGACGCGCGACTGATGTGTGTACAGCGTCCTCCCTCCGCCGCCGCGCTATCCTGTCGGAGGCTACCCGGGCGCGCAGCCGGGCCAGCTTATCGAGACCAACAACACCCTCACCCATCCCACCGGTCCCGAGCACCAGCTGGTCGTCGGCGAAGGTAATTAACCAGCCTGGACCCTGCATTCCCTGTCCTCACTGACGCTATGAAAGGTACCTATGTGCTGCGCGACGACCTCCACCTAGCTACGCCCCCGCCGCATCCCTCAGAGGCCCCCATCCACAACCCGAACCCGCTTGCGACGACAGTCTCTCCCCCCACAGCTGGCACCAAGCTCTCGCTGGTCGCCCTTGCGCCCCGCCAGCCCTCGCAGTCGCAACTCCACCGATTCGGCACACGGACGAGCACCCGGTCGCAAGTGCCCCCGAGCATACAGGAGTCGCCGCACGAGTCCAATAGCCAGGCGAGCGATGGCGGTTCATACAGCGCCAATGGCATCGTGTCGTCTCCGCTGGATGGGCTGAAAACACCCGTGTTCGGCGAAGGCAACGCGGCGCTGGCAGTCATCAACGGCAAAGACTCCAAGGATCCTACTAAGAGGCGGAAACCGAAGAGCAACATTGTTAAGAGCAACTCGTCCTTCGTATCCAGAGTCATTCCCCACGAGGCCCTGACCAAGCGATTGCAAGAACACAACCCCAACGGCCTCTATGCCTTTGCAAACATCAACCGCGCATTCCAGTGGCTGGACTTGACATCGCCTACCAAAGATGAACACCTGACTAAGATCCTCTTCACCAAAGCGCACGCGCTATGTCACGACATAAACCAGATCACAAAGGGCCCAAATCACCTCGACATCATCATGGGCTTTTCCACAGGCGACATAATATGGTATGAGCCAATGTCGCAAAAGTACGCGCGCATCAACAAGAACGGTGTCATCAACAAGACCGCCGTGTCGGATATACGGTGGTTGCCGAATAGTGAGAATCTGTTCCTCGCAGCGCACATGGACGGCAGTCTGGTGGTGTATGACAAGGAAAAAGAGGACGCCGTGTTTGTGCCAGAAGAGGCCGTCACATCTCCTAGCGAGAATGGGCTGACGGAACAGGAAAAGAAGCTGAAGCACCTCCTAACCGTGAAGAAGTCTGTCAACTCGAAGAACCAGAGAACGAATCCCGTGTCTTACTGGCAAGTCTCCAGGTCAAAGGTCAATGCTTTTGAATTTTCGCCCGACCGACGTCATCTTGCGGTTGTGTCCGAAGATGGGTCCTTCAGGATCATGGATTTCCTTCGCGAGAAGCTGCTCCACCACTACATGAGCTATTATGGCGGCATGATGTGCGTCTGCTGGTCGCCTGACGGTCGCTATGTCGTCACGGGAGGGCAAGACGATCTCGTCTCGATATGGTCTTTGGAGGATAGCATGCTGGTAGCGCGCTGTCAAGGCCACAATTCGTGGGTGACGGCAGTGCAGTTCGATCCATGGCGATGCGACGAGCGCAATTACCGTATCGGCAGCGTAGGAGAGGACTGTCGTTTGTTGCTGTGGGACTTCAGCGTCGGCATGCTGCACAGACCGCGAGCAGTGAGTGCAGTCGTTGAACGCGACAGTTGTGATGGCTAACGTTGACGTAGGCGTCTGTGCGACAGCGCGGTAGCATCGCCTCGTCGAACCTCAAGATGCAGCGCACACAAACGGGAGGAAGCTCGGTCAACAGGCTGCGATCGAACTCCAACCTCACATCGGGCAGCATGGCGGACGAGGAAGAAATAGTGGTGCACCCCGTAGAGCCTCGGGCACGCACGGCCATGCTACCTCCAGTGCTGGTGAGTTTGGCCCTGAAACCTCAACATCAATTTCTAACCGCCAATACCCATAGGCAAAATCCGTCCACGAGCACCCACTGTGCTGGCTAGGCTTCGAAGAGGACTGCATCCTCACCTCATGCAAGAACGGTGAGTCCCAGCAGCAGGCAGCAAAGTTTTCGTTCAAATCACCTCATATCCACCCGTTACGCGCACGTTGGCACCATGATCTGCGATAAGGCCGGGTTTCTACTGCGGCGCCAGGTGGCCGTGCGCAGGAACACCCGTCTTAGTGGCACACAGGGATCCGCCCGACGCATTTGTTGAGTTCGCGATGGGCAAATTGAGAGATAAGGAAGTGGATCGCTGACAGCTTTGTATTGCAGGCCACATCCGGACTTGGGACCGACCGAAAGAAGGTGCTGGGAATGACGACAGCAGTACGTCTGCGAGTGCAAATGGGAACCATGCATAGGACGCGGTATTTGGATCTGCATAAGACGTTATCGCGCGATTGGGTTTTGGTGGTGGTGGTGGCGGGATCGAGGTCGGAGGTCTTGGTAGCTCCTAGTCTTCGGAGCCCAGCATTTGTGTGCACTTTGCTGCATACGCACCACTACGATCTAGGAAGCAGACAGTCTCTAAGATAATGTATACTTCTACTGCAAGTATAAAATGCAATCCTTGAAAATGTGGATTCACTGAAAACGGCGCGCCACACGACATTCCAGCGGAGGCAGGTTGGACACCTCCGATATATCCCGACATCAGTCTGACATGTGCCAGACGGCTTCAGCCCTACATGCACGTCTGTCTTCCTTGCATGCGCGCGGGCGAAGAAGCTTACTTTGTTCTAGAACAACCACTGTACACCATGGACAAGAAAATCAAGTTTCCTTATCTCCACCATGCACCTTTACGGCAAAAATCACGACCATGAGGATACCACTGGTTTCCGGCCGGTAGTAACTAAATTAACTAGACCATGTCGATTGCGCTCACGATGTCGGAGTACTAAGTAGTGGATACACGCGGCGGCGCATGCGGGAATTATGTGTAGTTGAGAAAGCAAGCGATTGTGGGTCTCTATATACTTTAATGTACGTACATACATGTACATCGACATGGCTATGATGAGGCTCTGCTCGCATTACCCACAGTTGCGGCAATGCAGGTCTAGCCGCAGATTTTCGTGACCGTGCATGCTCGGACCGAGATTAAGGTAGGCGTAGAGGGAGTGGTGAGTGGTGTAGTGTAGGAGGCTGGTGGCTGGTTTCAGCGTGGCGGTCAAGACAGTCGTGACGGCGACGGCGTGGCTGTATCGGCGATGCGTTGAGTTGAGTTGAGATGGAGGCAGGGTGAGACGGAAGCAGGAACGATGGTTCACTTCACACGAATAACACCGCGACTCAAACCTAGATAGCCATACCCCTCCATTGAGCAACGACACGCAATACACATGTACGCACACCCTCCACCCAATCCCTCCACCCAATCCCTCCACGTCAGGCGACCCTCGTTCGACCAAAAATGCCAGACTGCCAGACTCGACGATAGCATTCGTCGAACAATGGAACCGGCGAGGTGCATTCGCACGTTTCGGAATTTGAGCTGCAGGTTGGCCGATGCTGCAAGATGGGCGGCAACCATGCCAGGTGTGGCGCAATCGCAGCTACTATCCATGTGCAATGCGTAAGAGGTAGAAAAGCCACTAAAAGGCTGGGTACCATGTGGAGATACTTCGGGAGAGCCGCAAGCAAAACCCTGAAGAGCTTAGGCTTAGAGCAGGAGCTTGACGGCGATGTGACTCCAAGCGAGGGATGAGGAATAGTGGGTGTTGTCGGCGGGTTTGTTGGATAGGCTGTAAGACGGAGGTATTCATGATTGTATCGCAGTGAATTACTCTGGACGCGCGTAATCAATGTCTATGAAGGCTACTTGCACAGGCGCGCTGCTATCGCCATGGCCGCCGTTCGCGGTGTCTTCTTATCGGAAGACCTTCTTTGGGACGGCCCCTGCTGGCAGCCCCGGCCTGCCAATGCGACGCCTAATGATTGCGCCAGAAAATTCTAAGACGTGAGCGCAACCAGGAGCCGCGCTAGACAGGCGACTACAATGATGCGAGCAGGCCTACTGGACTTGTCGCGTCTCCACTTGCAGCCCATGAGCTCATCAGGGTGCAGGCCGCCCTTGCCCGCTTTATCCCACGCGCACCAGCTAATGTGGTATATCTAACGCGGTACCTACACGCGGCCGCGGCCAGCTGAGTAGAGTCCTCCCTTACTATACTTTGGTTGCATATCTGTGACGTGCGGCGCTTTCTGTGTCTACTTCCTCCCACGCTTCTCATCAGCATCTCTCAGCTTGCTGACTGCATCGCCGACCACGTTCGCATATTATACCACCTACGCCTGCTAGAAGTAGAAGGATACACTGTCGCTGGTTACATTTCCACAATCGAAACCCCTCTAAACACATTGTCGGTGGTGTTTGGTTCGACTCATAAAAAAACGACCCTCGTTACATCATGCCTCGCCCAGGTGTCGGGGTCTTCGGCAGACATGCCGTGCCCACCCTGGAGATCAAGTACGCTTCTACCACCGCCAAACCTCAACATGGCGATATCTAACTCGTTCCCAGGCCGGAGTCGCCTTTTGTCGTTTTCTATGGAGAGTCGTCCGAGTCGCATGAGACGGAGCTGAGGGGCAAGTTGATTCTGAACAACCCAGAGTCCATGTCAGTGAGGAGCTTGCGGATAACACTCACGGGCACACGCAAAGTCTCGTACGGTAACGCCCCTGTCGACAACTGCTCAAGATTGCATGCTAATTGACTGTCCGCGCAGATGGCACTTGACCAACACTGTCAGCCCGCAGCCGATTACGCAAAAGACCAACTTCCTCGTCGAAGAACTCCACCTCTTTCCCGTCGACGTCGGCAGCAAGACCAAAGCGCACAAGCTCAACGCCGGATACCATGAGTGGGATTTCAAGTTCAAGATGCCCCCGAACCTCGACCAGAGCGTTGAGGGGCTACCGACCAACTGGGTGGTTTATAGTCTCAAGGCCCACGTGGATAGAGGGTACATGAGCAAGCAGCTCAGTGCTACGGCGCACATCCGCGTCATTCGCACGCTCGGACGCGACATGCTCGAATCCATGCCCATGGAGCAGATCAACGAGGATATCTGGGCGAACAAGCTGGCCTACAAGATTACGGTCCCGCAGAAGAACTACATTGTCGGAACGTCGATAACGGCCGATTTCGTGCTGATCCCTCTGCGGAAGGGCGTGGAGATTTCGACAATCAAGATGGAGCTGATAGAATCGCGGCAATTGTTCGCCGACTACGCTGGCCGCCGGATAAGTCACAACAACGACATGCAGGTTGCGGTTACAGAAGGCGACATGCCAGAAGACTCAGCGCGCAGGGTCCCCGACGGAACAGAAGACACGGACGCGCTATTCGACGAGTCGCATCGCTTTTCCATGACGCTCGATCTACCCAAGTCGCTCAAGAACTGCCGGCAATCCGTCGACACCGAGAACATACGGCTAACGCACAAACTGCGCCTATACGTCAACCTCAAGAACCCCGAAGGCCACACAAGCCAACTGCTAGTAAAAAACCACGTCCACCTCTTTATCTCGCCCAACCTACCCCCCAACGAAGACCAAAGCGTAGTCGTAGACCAAAACATCCTAAACGCGCAAGCCATCCAAGACGAAGTCAACCAAAACGCGCCGCCGACATACGGGCTCCACCAACTCGACTCTCTCTACAACGACATCGACCCCTCGGGCTTCATGACGCCCGGCGGCGTCCACAGCATGATGAACAGCGGGGCCAACACGCCCTTCTACGCGCAATCGCGGCGCGGCTCAGCCGAAGACCTCACGTCCCTCGACGCAGCCGTCCACCAACCCGGCGGCGGCGCCTCCGCAGCCGCTCTCCAACACCGCCTCGCAAACCTCAGCATGCACCACTCCGACCGCCCCACCCGCTTCCAACCCACCCGCCAGCATTCCTCCGGCGAAAGCACGCCCGCCCACGGCACTAACACCAACACCACCGAACAAGCGTACTTCGACCTCCCGCCCTCGAACTACGACATGGACGCCCTCGCCCGCACCCCCAGCTACAACACCGCTGTGCGCACGCCCGCTGGTTCGCGTACGCCCGGCGGCATGGATATGGATTTGCCGAGCTATGAGATTGCGATGAGTAGACCCAGTTCGCCGAGCAGGAGTCGCGGTAGTAGGGGGACGACGCCGAGTCCGACACGCAGTCTGGATACGTTGAATGAGGAGACGTATCGGAATACGCAGATGAATAGTCGGAGGCAGAGTCCAAGGACGGCGAGTCCGAGTAGTGAGGGGAGGTAGGTGGGGTGTTTTCTGCGGGGGATGGTTGGTTAAAGGGGGGTTTGTTGGGTTTTGCTACGGCCCTGTGGCTTTTTGCATATGGTGTTTACGTCCCGGCCTCGAGGTTGTCAGGGCTATGGGCTCTAGGTTACGTATTACGAGCGCTTTTTTCTCTTTTTTACTTCAGCATTTGTATAGATATAGACTTAGACTTTCACTTTTGGTCTTGTTATAGGGCTTCACCACTCTCGATGGGTTGGGCTGGGTTGGGTTAGAGTAGGATACCCCACGCGCATCATTTTTTACTTCGGATAGTAATTACATATCATTACACTCTATTCTTCACTATCTTAAATGCTGCATCTACCATCTACCATCTACCATCTACCATCCCCCATCCCCCATCTCCAATATCAACATGACGTAGCAAATCACCTTGGCATCGCGTGCATGACTCGCGTCTCATCTCTCCACAGATACACACCTACACACTTACACATTCATTCCCCCACGACTGACTCACTGTCTACCCTTCTGGGCTGAAACATGCGAACTGCACAGATAAGAAGAAGGTCACGCGTACTGCGTAGATTGAAGTAGATCTTCCACCTCTAACATGCGCCAAGCTGTCATCGGATCGTGGCATGTCGGGTAAACACCGGGATGATCGGGCAGATGACCGAGATGTAGATTGTCGAATATGGGTGGGGCTAGTATGGCTTTGGTAGTGTTTCCGCTGTGTTAGCTGCACGTATACTTCCGAAGGTAAGCCAAGAGTTTCTAAGACGTGACATCTAGAGGCCTATGCAAGTCTCAATATGTAGTTTATTGCTTGGGCACACTCGGCATATAGTGACTCAAAATACATGCTTGTGCAAAATAAACAATACAGTACAACTCCATCACCAAAACTCATCTCTAGGTAGCCAGTCCACCGTATGCAGCTTTATTACTCATTATACCACCTCCATATATACTCGTCATTTCTACATCCCCCTCTCCTCCCCATCTCCGTATCTACGCCCACCCCTCTCTCCATCTCCATCTCCATCCCCACCACCACCCTACGAAGGATAATGCTCAAACAAAAACCCCGCCGCCATCTCCGTATCCCCCTCCGTCGCATTCAACGCCGCCAACGCCTCCTGCCTGCTAAACCCCAGTACCACCAACTTCTGCACCTCTTCGTCCGGCCAAGCCGCGCGCGCAGCAGGCAGATTACTAACCATGTTGCGAATCTGATCAGCCGTGATATTCTGAAGTCCACTTCTAGCTCCACTACCACTTGCACTTCCACTACCACCACCACTAACACCACCCATCGCCGCTCCACCAAAATCATAGATAGGCGTTTTATCTAGATCAACATCCGTTCGTAGAGATAGTCCTAGCGCTTTAACCCACCCCGCCTGCACAGTCTCGGTATTGAGATCGCGGGAGGTGATGTATTCGACATCATCATCACAATCCCCCGCATTAAAATACTCCCAGCCCATCATCCCCCCAAACCCCTTCCCCACCTTATAATAACTCTGCCGTAACTGCTGTGCAACCACCGCCAGCCGTCCCACATCAACATACCCACCCCCATTCGCCTCATTCGTCACCACGCCCATGACAATCTTCTCTGGTTTCCAGCCCGCGGCGATGATGGTATCGTACCACTCCGTTGTAAACGCGTCGCCCCATCCGCAGTAGAACTGCGTGTTGTACCATGCGATTTCTTTCCCCCAGACGCTGCATTCGAGCTCCGGGTAGCTGAAGCCGGATAGATGGCGCAGGGTCGGGTGTAAGGGGTTGGGAGTGGGGCCGCTGGCGAGCATGGGTCGGGGCGGGCGGAGGTGTGCGGGGATTTTGGGGTCGGGGATTAGAGCTGTAGCCACGGGTGCGAGGGTGATGAGGAATTCGGGGCCGAAGTCTGCTCGAAGGCGCGAGATGAGGCGTGTAGCAGTGGAGAGGGGGATGTCTTCTTCGATGTCAAGGTCGAGACCGGAGAGGGAGCGGGCGGTTATTAGGGCGGCGAGGGGGGTGTAGTATGCTTCGAACTGTGGGGATTCATTAGCTTTATGGTCTTGAGGGATGATGGGATGGGGTGGTGGCATACACTCTCTTCGTCTCCGCTCAACTTCTCGTAACTCCCCTTCGCTGCTCCACCCAGCATACCCAACACCTTGACCCCACTACCCTGCAACCAATTCACCTCGCCCCATAACTGATCAAACCTCTTATCATCCGGCTTATGATCATTCAGCGTAATATTGCCCGGGCCATCATTGAGGTGGATAGCCGCAACAATCACATGCGTGATGCCCGTGTTGTTCGTGAGCAGCGGAAGCAACGAGTGGTAAGTGCCGTTTGAGTCGTGGAAAGTCTGGTGGTAGACGATGAGACGCGGGCCGGTGGATGGCGGGAGGAGTTTCGCATTGGGAGTCATTGCTGAGTCAGTGGAGGAAGCGTGGTGAGCAGACCGCCCGTGGAGACCTGGTACGTGGACGCGTTCCTGCAGGTCCGTAGGGCTGAGGTGGGGCAGGCGCGCTACGTCATTCAGAGGTGCCAGGGGCATCATCGCCGCTAGGGGCAGCATCGCGAGCCAGCACAGGAAATTCATAATGTTCGTGTAGTTGGATGTAGTATTCAGGAACGACGCACAAGTGCGAAGTTCTATATTCCATCCCTCCTGGCATCAGCAGGACGTGGCTGTGGTGTACTTTGGTTGTCAGGATGCGATTTTACTGAGATCCATGGTTGCGATACACCGAAGCACCATCAACCACAGTTCCACTTCGTGGAAAAATGATAGCTTGCATACTCAAGTATTGAGGTCAGAACGGGCTGGAATAAAACCAGCAGTAGTGATAGTACACTGAAACCAAGGCTCACATTCGCCACGTGATGTCAGCGTAGTTGTATGTAGTATTGCATGCATTTACTCAGTAGCATACCCTGACCAGAACGCCATTTGCTGTCCGGTAAAGGTACAGCCCCAATCCTTGTAACCAGAACAAAGCAAGAAAGCCCCTAGACACTAACGTCTCGTATTGCTCACCAATCCTGCAGACCACTCAAAGCGTAACAGTCGTAGCATCCTCCTGGGACAGGCTAGTGGTAGCCGTTGCTGTATTCGTGTCGTGTGTCGCCGTTCATTCCGCCAAAGTATGGGTGGATGACCGTCTGCTTTGCTGAGATGCGGCCAGCGGGGTCGTAGACAAGCAGCGCATCGAGGAGGTCAAGGCCAACTTCGTCGAGGTTGGTGACTATGTTTGCGACGTCTGTCCGGCCCCACTTGGGGAACGAGGGCTTGAAGTCGGGGAAGGAGGTGACGCCGGGCCAGTCTTGCTCGTTGGGTGTGCCGAGGATACTAGACATGATTAGTACATGGAGATAGTATAGAGATGTGAGTGCATACCGGAAGATCTTGAAGATTTCGTCAATCTCCGAATCACCGGGGAACAGAGGCTTGCGCGTGCACATCTCGGCGAAGATGCAGCCAACAGACCACATGTCGACACCAGTTGAGTATTGGCGACCGCCAAGAAGAATCTCCGGAGCGCGGTACCATAGCGTGACAACCTATTATATGTCAGACGACCCCAAATCACATCCGCGGTATCCATACCTCGTGGGTGTATGTTCGCAGCGGAACACCAAACGCACGCGCCAGACCGAAATCCGCCAACTTGAGATTACAGTCCTTGTCAATGAGCAAGTTCTGCGGCTTCAAATCACGATGCAGCACGCGATGAGCATGGCAATACCGCACGCCCTGACACAGCTGCATCATGAACTTCTTAACCATCTTGTCGTCCATGCTCAGGCTCTGTCCCGCCAGCCCAGATCCCTCCGGCAGCGCCTTGCCCCGTCCGCCCTGGCTAACCGGCAGCGCCTCCATGTACTTCTTCAGATCCAGATCCAGGAACTCGAAGACGAGGTAGAGCTTGTGGCCGTCGGCGTGTACGATGTTGAGGAGGCGCACAATGTTGGGGTCGTTCATCTCTTTGAGGAGTGAGATCTCGCGGATGGCGGTCGACGGGACGCCTTCGTCTTCGGCTTCGAGGCGGATCTTCTTGAGGGCGACGATGCGCTGGTCTTTGGTGGTGAGGTCGCGCGCTTTGTAGACGACTCCGTAGGTTCCTGAGATTATGTCAGTAGGCGCGTGGGTAGCCATTAGGGTATAGCGTACCCTCTCCGACCTTCTCCAACTTCTGGTAGTTCTCCATGGTGGCGGGCTGGGGACTGCGATTGCTTCAGACGACAAGCGGTCAAGCGTGTTTAGGTGGATCGCGGGAGATGCAGTTTCGCCGCGAGTCTGTATTATTCCCGGTTCGAGGTGAGGCAAGGGTGTTGAATGCCTCCCGTGTGTACCTGTGGTTAGTACGTGCGGGCAGAGAGGAAGGTGCAGCGGGGAGCAGGGGACGAGGGTGTCTGGTGTTGGGAAATTCGAGATGTAAACACCCTTGACGCATCGGGCAACGCGCACCCGTCAGCCACAAACGCGAGCTTAGTCAACAATACCCTCTCCCACGTTTCTCCGTCCCAAGGTTCCCATCATCAATCACTATACGTGCTTCTTCATACATCTACACATACATCCTCACTCTCCCACAAATTCCCGCTGTCGAGACCACACGCAAAATGCACCACCTAGACCCCCATGAACGCCCTCCAGACAGCATACGCAACGTCTACAAAAAGTACCAAAAAATGAAAGCAAAAGACATAGACCTAGATGGCGACATCATCGATCTCTCGAGCGACGCCGCCGCGTCATCAAACCCCAAAGTGCACGTAGTAAAACAATACACCGCAGAAGACCTGACCGCCATTTTCAACTCTTTCGCCGGTGAAGAAGACGGGGGAAAACTGCAAGCCACGGATTTGCCGAAGTCAATACCAGTGTATGAACACGAGGATATGCCAGGTAGGACGTCTCCCGTGTTTTGAATGAAATGAACTATTTTTCGCTTGATCATCTTCCTGCCTTTTTTTTTTGGTTTTCAACATCATCTCACACCTCCATACCTCAACTCCTAACACCTCCCCCAGGCCTCCACATAACCCCCTCCCTCCTCCCCCTCCCCACCCAATCGCACCTCCTATCAACCCTCCTTCACACGTCCCTCTCCTCCCCCACGCACCTCACAAACATACACACCCACTACACGCTCTCCTACCCCACCTCCCCATCCTCTTCTTCATCCCCATCCTCTTCCCCATCCCCATCCTTCTACTCCCTCCCCCCGCACTCCCCCCACCCCATCGCTACCCCCCTCTCCCCCACCATCCACAAACCACTCACCATATCCCAACTCCTAAACAAGAAGCTGCGCTGGACAACCCTCGGCGGCCAATACGACTGGACCGCAAAGAAATATCCAGATACACCGCCTCCACCCTTTCCTCCGCAAATAAAGTCGTTACTGGAAGCCCTCTTCCCCCAGACCAAAGCGGAAGCCGCGATCGTAAATCTGTACAGCCCGGGCGATACACTGAGTGTACATCGCGATGTCGCTGAAAGCAGTAACACGGGACTTGTTAGTGTGAGTTTGGGGTGTGATGCTATTTTCGTGTTGGGCACTACTGTGAAAAGCGAAGAGGGAGTGAGCGAGGAGAAGATCGTCACACTGAGACTGAGATCGGGTAGTGTAGTGTATATGAGTGGGGAGTCTAGGTTTGCGTGGCATGGGGTCCCAGCGATAGTAGCAGGGACGTGTCCTGAGTATCTTCAAGACTGGCCCGCGTCAGCATCAGCAGAAGGGGAAGAAGAAGACAAAGAAGAAGGGGAGTATGAAGCGTGGAGGGGGTGGATGGCGAATAAACGGGTTAATCTGAATGTGAGGCAGATGTTCGATTGATCACCTACTCCACTCCACATCACGCTACGAGTACAGTCAAGGAGATTACAAAAGCATTATCATGTATTAGTACTATTCAAAGCAAAAAGGGGTATGTATATATCCACATCCACATCCAACAACCATCGCCTGCACACTTCACCACCTCTCCATCAACGCACACCTACCACAGCGTAACCTTCGACCCAACATCCACATCCTCATCAGACGTACACGTAGCGATCATGAGACTTTTCCACTAGTATTTTCCCGGCTCGCCCGGGACCGCACTCCCCGGTGCCGTCGTCGCACTACCCGGCACCGCAGAAGCAGGCGCGCTAGTACCACCCGTGACAGCGTGATCAGTCGAGTTAGTACCAGCACCCTCCAGACCCGTAGTCTGGATAGGAGCAGGCTGTGTCTTCTCCTCGGGATACATGTTCTGCGGGCTAGTGTCGCCAGAGACAGGGCTGGTGGGAACGTCGTTTGTAACTTTCCCGGCTGCCCCGCTGATGACCTGCCACCATTGCTCCGCAGCCTGTGGCGTGTGTGCTTTAAACGCGAATTCGTGTGTCATGGAGAACGCACCGCCGATCTTCCCCTTGGACACATCCTTGCCCTTGACATTAAACTTCTGTCCATTCACCGCACCGATCATACAATCCGGAATATAGAGCGACAGTTCGGGGACTGGGTCCTTAGCAAAGTCGTCGTCTGTCTTGAACTCGTGGAGGAACTTGGAGGGCGTCACGACGTAGTAGTTTGTGTCGTAGGAGCGCATGATCTTGCCCTTCTTTTCGAGCGAGCCCGAGATGAGGGGCTGGGTTGCGCGGTGGTTTTGGTTGGGGAAGCTGATGTCGGAGAGGGTGCGGGCGGGGGCGGCGGGGTCGATCAGCACGGTGTTGTTGCGCTGGATGAAACCGTTCCATTCGAAGTCCTGGGGGATGCGCTGCGATGTGCCGACCATGTCGCCGTATGCGGCTTTGGTGTGCTCGGCTTGGGTGTTGACGACTTGCAGGAACTGGCCCATGCCCGACTGGATGGTTTGGATGATGTGGGCTTCGAACTGGGCGAACGAGTTCTGCACGCTGATCAAGTCCTGGCGGTTGTTGTTCTCCTCCTGGACTTGCTTGTGGAGGCGGTGGTTGACGCCGCGCTGGAGGATGTAGGGGTCGTCGGTGGCTTTCATGTTGCCGCTGTGCGAGTCGAAGACTGCCGTGTGCTGGCCGAGGAGCTCAATCTGCTTCTGGGTGTGCAGGCGGGCCTTGTCGACAGCCTTACTGCCCTTGCCAGCGCCCTTGGTGAGCTCCTTGCTCTTGTTCTTGATCTCGGTGTGGAGGCGGTCGAAGATGGGGAGGACGGCGCCCTTGAGCTGCTTTGCCGTCTCGTAGTGTTGGTTGGAAATGCCCTGCCATGGTTAGTCATAACATTGGTATATGATGTAGAGGATATCGTACCTGGGTGTTGGACCTGATGTTCTCGAACATGCCCGCAATACCACCGAGCGACTGATCGAAATGGTGGCCCTCCTTCAGGGGATCCTTGACCGTCTGTTCAACGTCAGTAGCTGTATCGCTATCGCATTGAGTCGACCAACCTTCAAGACGCGCTCATACTCCTTGCCGTGCGCGTGGTTCGTCTTCTCCGTGGCTGTGACATAATCCTCGAGGTAGGCGACGGCGTGCTTCCAAGCTTGCAATCGCTCCGCAAAGAGCTTTGTGACCTAGGACATGTTAGAAACTTTCCCTCTCATCAGTCTACAGACTACTCACCTCTGAGGTATCCTCTCCTGGGATGGCATCGTCGTCGGCAGATCGGTTGGTGAGGCTGCGCGTGGGCATCTCACTCGTGGCAGAGGTAGGCGCAGACATATTGCAGGTGTGTCGTGATACTGAAGAAACAAGGTGCAGTCGTGGAACGTGTCTTCGCACGTGTAGGAGGTAACGTTGTTGTTGCTGTGAAGCTTGACGACGCGGCTAGCGAGATTTGGTTGGTGAAGGCGGGGTTCGCGTTCTTCCGGAAATGAGCCCGAGTCGTATGCTGCACGAGGGGAACTTTTATAATAAAGATATCTGGTTCAGTAGGATTATTTTCCAGGGTAAAAATCAGGGTCCAGGGAGGGGTTTAAGTTTGATTCAAGCTCCGTGGGCGCATCTAGATCGACACGCACACATGCCGGAGAAGCAGGGTGGTGCCATGAGGTGTTTGGCTGGCCCTGTGACGTCAACGCTCGAAGCTTTAGTCTAGATCCACGCGGGATCTACGCCAGAAAATGGGTACGGACTGCTGCTGCGCCACGATCCTAGGGGTGATCGCGGGACAGATCCTGACCACATGGTTACATTCAAGGTCGTTGACGTATCGTGGCTTCATGCCATTGCGCCCGAGTGTGAGAGGGTTGTCAGGGTCTCCGCCCAACACATAGTACCCCCACATTAGCACCGAGGAGCGGCAGAGACTCCGAGGACTTTCAACGAGCACAACATTGCGCTAGGCAGAGAACTACGCCAGGCAGGAAATTTCCAAGGTTGTGAGTTACCCCTGTCAAAAGGTATAGAGGAACTCAGACTTTGGTGTGGCCTCCACGAGGGGTACTTATTTGTCATCTTGTCAACTTCTATGACAGCCTGCTTGTTTCCAGCGTCTGACCGAGTTGAAACCTACTACGAGCTGAGATTGACGACTGTGGCTATGTCAGAATCCGCATCGCAGTCTACTGTAAACATGCTAATATATCTTAGCGACCAAATAGTTTCCATAGAACCTAGGTAACGTGTACTTCTACTCAGATGACTCTTTTGCCATTGCAGAGTGCGACTCGACTTGTAGCCACCCTTTATTATGTCGGAAACCGGTGACTGCCCAAATTGATCATATGTGCTTACTACAAAGCTGCATCTTGCAACAACCTGTACTGGCCAGCATGAATGCTGCAACGTCCGAGCAAACAATAGCGAGGGTTTATGGCGTGAGTAGAACAGGGAGGTCTGAACAGTTGTGTTCCAACGTGACCTGTGTGGTGCCTCTGTCAGGTAAGCCGTCCAGCGAGTTGATTGGTATCATGGAGTCTGAGGGTGACAGTCCCAGCATCTCCGTTTTCTCTCCTCGATTAGGATGATCTGGACGGGGCGGTGTGGTATGAATCCCAGGTGTCTAGACTGGGTGCAACACTACGTTGCGAGTAGACCAGCTTGCGCCCAGCAAATGAAGCATGCGTATGTTGAGAGTTAATTGGTATGGTTGCAGGGAGAGTCTTGACATCGTTCCCCATCTTGTGAAAGCACTCAATGTAATCCTGGATCTCTCCGCGGTGAAGGTACCAAGAGAGCAACGGTTCTGAATCTGCCGCCTGAGATCAATTGACTGGCGCAACCCCAACATTTTCTGCTTCGCAACGCCCGAGCCGGTCACCATGGGATGTCTCGCAAACCGGGCGGAGTGACGAGTTGCAGAAGTCCACCTTCGTCGCTGGGCGTCAATGAGACCTCAGAATTCCTGTTGGCTTTTGTGTTCCTGGGACGTGCTGTAGTAGGAGCCTCTCTTCGATCATTGCCTTTTGATATCAGATACTATTCAGCGATCCAGTCGGCAAAAGTGTTATGGAGTTGGTGGATGTTGTGGTCGGGACGAACGGTCTCGGACAGTTGTCAAGGGACAACGATGACGTCGGACCGACCCATACTGCGACCCTTCAATATCCGCTCATCTACGTTGAACCTCCGGTCGGCATCAGCGCCGCAGACGCGTTGGAGGCTTTGTATAGCAAAAACTGGGGAACAGGATGTACCTAGGTATCTCCGATCTAAGTTGGAGGCGGCAACCGCTTACCCCACATCTCGGTATACCGAATGCGGCTAAATTCAGCTGTCATCCGAGGTCGAGCTGGGATGTGGGAAGCATGGCATTGGAGAACGGCTTCATCCCCACACATTGCTCTTTGACAAATCGGGCTGTACATATAGGCATTGCACTCTCAGATCACAAACACAGCCAAAGGAAATCTGTGTTGTTACTACAATAACGTACTGCCTATAGGAGCTGCCACGCGCCTCCCCGCATTTCTCCACACGACCGAACACCACCTGCACGACAACAACCGCTGCTCACGATGGTGATTTCAACAGCAATTCGCATTGCGCCATCGCGCGCAGCTCGCGCCCTCAACCTCCTCCGAACCGTACAGTACACACATCCTCCATCATGTCCCTGCCATTCGAACCCCAACTACCACCAATCGCCGTCTACCGTCCAGCAAGCTCGGCGGCATCTCGCAACACCCCTCGATCACTCCCAACAAAAGGAATATGCGTTTGAGATGGCGGCATCGAGCATACGTTTCGGACCGGGATGTACAAAGGAAGTCGGCATGGACTTCAAGAACATGGGCAGTAAGCGCGTCATGGTCGTCACAGACCCCAACGTGAGGAAACTCGACGCGATGAAGCAGGTCATTGAAGGTCTGGAGAGAGAGGGCGTGACCTACGAGATCTTTGACAAGGTCAGAGTAGAGCCAAAGGACCACAGCATAATGGAAGCCATCAACTTCGCGAAGCCATGGAAACCGGACGCGTACCTAGCTGTTGGCGGTGGCAGTGTCATTGACACAGCCAAGCTGATGAACTTGTACACAACCTTCCCCGACGCAGAGTTCCTAGACTTCGTCAACGCGCCTCTGGGCAAAGGAATGCCTATACCGTCGAAGCTCTTCCCGCTCATCGCTGTACCAACGACTGCAGGAACTGGCTCTGAAACGACTGGTACTGCCATCTTCGACCTGGTCTCCAAGAGAGCAAAGACTGGTATCGCGCATCGAAACCTGAAGCCAACTTTGGGCATAGTCGACCCGCTGAACACACGTACCATGCCTTCTGCTGTGCACGCATCTTCAGGTCTCGATGTACTGTGCCATTCTCTCGAATCGTGGACCGCAATCCCATACTACGAGCGCACACCGCGACCAACGAACCCCCTCAACCGTCCAGCCTACCAAGGCGCAAACCCAATCTCCGACATCTTCTCTCTCAAGGCCCTGAAAGACACAGTCAAGTATCTACCTCGCGCGGTGAAAGATCCCGATGACCACGAGGCTCAGTCGCAGATGTTGCTTGCCGCAACCCTCGCTGGTGTAGGGTTCGGTAACGCAGGTGTGCATCTTTGCCACGGCATGTCGTACCCCATCTCAGGTCAGAACCCTGGATACAAGCACTCTGGCTACGACGTCGACCACACCATCATCCCCCACGGTGTCAGCGTTGCAGTGACCGCGCCTGCAGTCTTCAAATTCACCGGCGCATCCAACCCGGAGCGACATCTGGCGGCGGCCGAAGCGTTCGGTGTCGATATCTCGAACGTCAAAGCAGAGAGCGCGGGAGAAGTACTAAGCGAGGCGCTCGCGGAGTTCTTGGTCAAGCTTGGTGACCAGCCACGCGGGTTGAAGGCGCTCGGTTTCGGAAAAGAGCATTTGGATCAGCTGGTTGAGGGTACCATTCCGCAAGCAAGAGTGCTGATGCTGGCGCCAAGTTTGGAAATGCAGAATATTGATGCAGAGAGGGAGCAGTTGCGGGGATTGTTTGAGGATGCGATGGAGTATTGAGCTACTAGCGGCGGACATCTAGGTACGCAGCTTGATATGTAAAATTCGCAACTTCCAATAAATTGAACTATTCTTTGAACGTGCGCCAGGTCACTTGAGTTGCATGTTACTTTACTTTTCGCTAAATTACCGAGAATCCATGATCCGATCTCGGATCTTGCTGGTCCTACCGTGGTACTAGATGTTGCGGCAATTATTATTATCCGAGAGTATCTGTACATGTATGAGTAGTATAAAATTCGGGAGGTGTAGTTGGCTCCCCGCCCCTTCAGAAGTTGCAGTACCATGGGATGGAGGTGGTGAGATAAGAATAAGGGTACCGAGACGACCCTGTGAATGGTGATACCGGAACCCCAATCTGACTATGCGAACGGACTTGGCTATCATTATTGGTACGAGTCTTGATATTTTAAATCTCATTGTCCTCTTTCTACTAATGTACCTTTCTCATCAACTTTCATCCTGCTAACAAGGTCTAGGGCCGAAAGATGCAAAGAGTCACTGCGAATCACCATATTAGCGCGGGTGGTATAGCAAGCCAGGGAGTTATTGTAAACGTCTTTTAGGTCTCTATGGCTAACGAGCGAAAAGATACGACGTATGGTTCCCGCATTCTTCGGATTCTTCAGATACATGGATGCCTGATGTCTCGGACAATGGGAATGATGAGAGTCTAGAAGATGAACATAGGTATTCAGATGAGGAAGACGATAGGATGTCAGTCGACGAAGAAGATAGCGTCTCGGAAGATGAAGACGATGGGGTCTCAGACGATGAAGAGGATGAGAACTCAGAAGATGAAGACGATAGGCTTCCACAAGAGAAATGCGGGCTCTCAGACCAGCAATACGTTGAGCTTCTAAGAGATGACCACGACGGGCTTCTTGAGGAGTCCGCTCAGCTCCGGGAGGAGGAAGCCGGTGAAATTCTAGAAGAAGAAGCCACTGAAGCTGCCTGGCCTACATGTTGTCCATACCTTACGGAGTACGCATAACTATTTCGTCATGGATAAGACAATTGCTGACGTTGCGTAGCGCGACCACACGGCTAGGATCCATCCAACAACTTCTGATTGCTGAACATTCAGCAAGATACCACAGTCCAACAGGACATGCAACAAAAGCAGAGATTGACGCTTTCCATGCAGCTAAATGCAACCGGATGAAATACGTCCATCGTCGTTCAATACTCCAGCACATGCATGATCGTCGCAGTGGCCTACCCAGGGAACTTCGCGACATGATATACGGCTACGTCTTCGAAGATTCATGCGTCCAGCTTGATGCGGAGCATTCGGAGCACGCATGTCCCACTACTCATTCCCAGAACTCTTACAGGCAACTGATAGACTTCAAATTCTTCGCTGCCGATACTGGGATAAAGAACGAGCTGGCTGAGATGTGGTACAAAATGACGACCTTCTGGACCACAGATCCCAGCACGATCAGTTCTTGCCTCTCTCGGTTTAAATGGAGTGCTGTTTTAGAGGCTAGGCCATTCGGCCTGGTCCGAAACGTCGAAATCTGGGTACCTGTTGACGTCACTCAAGGAATTCTCGAAGAGACCCCCGATTTGGCAAGAGCTGATCCTCTATTCCAGCTTCATGAGACTACAACCGTTAGGTTCGCTCTAGGAGGTCCCGATTCCATGGACACTACTTTCCCAGGCCGCGGCGTGCCTTACTACAACGCAGAGGATTATGCGGAGAACATAGAGTATCTGTTCCCACTCTTTGCGAATCTGAGAGCTGCGCTTCGAGCCCGGCGCTATCGGAACGAGCACCACAACCGGGGTGCGGAGAAGACAGAGGCGTTCATCACTGAAGCAAACGAGCTGTGCGTGTAAGAATATATTGATGATGGGGTATCGAGCAAGTGATATATACATGAAGAGGTGAAGTCTATGAAATGAAGTGATGTGCAAAAGAATACAAGACCCCGATCAGGGTAAAATGAACACCTGCCACCGTACCTAAAAGTCTACATTGCCTTCGTGATCTCATAATTTTAGTTTTCATACCAATGTAGACTGCAGGGCATCTGTTCGGTTTCTTCTTTGAACAAGGTTGTACGGAACGCTGCTTAGTGACCGCTCTGATTTTGCGGCCCTAGATCTTCGCCGAGAGGTGGAGACCATGGGTATAGATCCAGGAACGAGATGTTATCCTCTTGACTGTGGACGAAGCTTTCATCAGACCTTGGAAGAGTCTGGTGATGATACCCGGAAAATGATCCTTGCGCAGACGGAATGTCCTGATGTGTGTTGTAAGGTGATGCTGCGGAATGTAGCGATGTTGAATAGAAGGAGAAAGGCGACGCTAGAGGGCTGTGATGGGGTTGATCCGCTGGACCGTGGATGGAGGTAGGTCCGGTGTATAGGTGTGTTGAAGGAAAGTACGATGAAGAGGCGGTGTCGAACGGTTGGTTGCTCGGTAGGGTACTCAGATCCGTCGACCCAAGATTGCCGCTTACATTTACTGGCGAAAGTGGGTGTCCGAAACCATGGGCAGGGCGAAGAGGATACAAATGCTGAGGCGATAGCCAGCCTTCCTGTCGGACGGCATTGTATGGCGCAAGATTCTGTTGGCCGAACTGGAAGGGCCACACAGTCTGGTGGAGTGGTGCCGCTTCTACGGCTTGCTGAAGATCATTATGAAGTTCCTGAAAGGCTTGATCCTCGCCTGCTGCAGGATCGTACGATTGGGATGGTATCGAAAGCCCATTTCCAGCGCCCCTGATATTGAAAAAGTCGTGTGCGAGTGAACCCTCATTTGGTGCTTGCCGTAAGTCGGGTAGAGTATACGAGGCCTGGGTTGGGTGTGCTGCAGGTGCATGGGTTTGAGGGGTCTGCGGTGCCGAGCCGAGCTTGGTTGGGGTAGGCCTCTTGGCTGGTCGGCGACGAGGTGTAGAGCTCTTGTTGGCTCTGCGTGAGGGAGTCGTAGCTGTGTCCGTTTTGTTCTTCTTTCTCTTGACGGGATCGGGGTGTAGGCCCGGCTGGCACTTGCGCTCGTGCTTCAACAGGGCATCATTGCGAGTACACACGACCTTGCACTTCCTGCACATCAAAGGGCTCTCGTTGGCCGATGGATGTTGGGTCCGTATGTGTCGTGCGAGGTTGTTCGTCATGTCGTCACCAGTGAACGGTACATTGCACTGTCTGCACCGAACCTGGTCAGGGTTCGATTGTGGCGACACAGGCATAGAGGAGATGAGGTGCCCAGGTGCGCTTGTATCGACCAGGTGCTCACCAAGTCGAGGATTGGCTGAGCCTTCTGTGGGTTGCAGCGGTAGGCCGTGGGTAGAGTTCGCGTGCGCGTGTACGGTGGGAGGTTTGCTGTTGGCTTGATGTTTGGAAGGCGGCGTGTTATCGAGCTGGTAGGGAGGTTAGTCATGGACGCGCAACGAAGCAGAGAATGGCTTACATGAATGCCATGCTGCGACCAAGGATTAGGAGGAGGTGCCGTGACACAATGCAACCCTACGCCAGTGAGGTTGTATGCCGACTTGCCGGCGCCCATGGAGGAGCGCAAGGGACGCTCGAGGCGTTCATCATCGTTGGGGTATATCGGCGGCGACATGCTGAGATGTTGCCCTCCCTCTAGTCCTGTATGAGGTGGGACGAAAGGTGGGTGACCCACCCAAGGTGGTCAGCGGAGGGTGTGAAGGTATGTATCGCGGTTTGGTCCAATGCGATCTGGTCGAGGCGCATCATCGGTGGGTGAAACAAACGTCCGAAGGAGGGCTGGGGCAGCAGACTTTATGCATGGGAAGGTGCTGCGAAGCTGTGAACGAAGAGCTTCCCAACGGCAGCCAATGTGGTGCGCCTCCAGCCCGCAAGTGTGTAATTGCTCCTTTGCTCGTCCTCCCACGCTACATTATCGTCACAAGAAGGCTAGCCGGTGCCCCGTGCGGGGACTGATGTATGAGGGGAGAATTCGTAGGGCTAGCCTAGGGGAAGGATTCCGGAAGGATGCCGAGGGCTTTGGAGCTTAGATCGTGACTAGGATGACCTCGCAGGGTGAAGCAATGAGGACGGCCGACTTGAAGTCGCGCGTTGGTATCTCGTAGAGGGAGGGACGGGGCGAGTGCGCAGCCATGCAGGGAGCTTAGCAATTCAGCAACTGGGGAAAATCCGATTTGTACGTCACAGGGAATTGTCGTATGAGAACGTGGTACCAAGAGCATAAGCCACCTCAGGCTAGTATACTTCAAGTCGAGGCGGTGCACAGCAAGGCAACCACCAAGCATGGAAGCATAGAAGCTTTTTGCGCCTCAGATCTCATTTCCGCTCGCCAGACTGCAAAGGCACGACAAATGCAGCAGGGGGTAATGAGAGGATCCATAATGGTATGGACGCGTCCCCATCGCGAGCGCGGGAGTGCCTGGCGTCACCGCGAGCGGGGTGTGCAGTGCACAGACCGCGACAAAGGCACCTGTGGACCTATCGTGATCGCAAGCGGGAGGCGGAGCAGCGAAGGATAGTGGCAAATTTTCAGAATGCGCGCAGCTGTTTGGTGTTATGGGAAGCTCTTTGGCCCAGGCTGGGGGACTCTTACCAAAGCTTCTTGGGTGGTGTGGGTGGAGTGTGTAATCTCCATCAACTGCTGTCCTGCGCACGCCAGCCAACTTGGCGTCGTGGCTTCGCTCAAGAAAATTTTTCTGAACATGAAACAATGCTCGAACGAAGGTCGAGACGCGTCCTTCGTAAACATGCTGGCGAAGGACGGGTAATTCATCTTGTTCGACGGATGACGTCGGTGGGGGAGGGGTACCGACTCCGTGACACTCGAAGGCGGCGCTTACGGCTATCTCAACAGTCTTCGGATAAGATCTTGGCTTCGTACGTGGCACGCTCAACGCAGCGTCAAAGCGTATCGCACGCTGCATGCAGTCAGCAACGTGAAACGGGTTCTGGCCAGAATTCGTGCGATGTGACGGCGCATGGAGCTACAGCTTCCCCTTAGTTGCACTGTGACCTGTCAGGGCGAGGTACCACTTGACACCGCACATGTCGATCCCGTCGTTCCCACAAACGCCCGCCTGTCGGGCCCTGTCCAGTATGGCATCATATTTATCCTGGCCCTTGACGCCGATCGTGATCGACACAAGGCCCTCTGGTTGCCCTTGACGCCCTGGAATGAACCCCAGCCTGGCGTTCGTGAAGGCCAACAGGTCGCGGCTTCGCACAACGCCAAATATCGCTTCCCACTCCCGTGCGGCCGCTTCGTGGCCAAGGTCGCCGGGCTGCAGGCGCAATACACAGCCCTGTAGCGTAAGGTGTTCGGTCCGCTGCATGCCGGCCCTATAGCGGTCGACGTCTGAACCGCAGGCATGCCATGGAGAGAAGCGAGACTGAACTGGCGTAGGATTCTTTGGACCTGGTATGTGGGAATCGAGTTCTGGCATCATGCCGCCTGTCGCCTCGTTAACCGTATGACCTCGCAATTGGTAGGTGCCTAGCGTACCCTTGATGCCTTTCGGATGGTACTGAATACACATTGAGTCCGCATAACTATGCTCAAAGATGACTTTCGACAGTCCCTTCGCTTCGATGTATTCGCGTCGCTTCTTCGCATCCTCGGTCTGCATGATGATCATGTATCCGCCGTCGCCGCGCTTCTCGATCAACCGTCCGGCAGTCGTCCCTGGCTTGGTGGGCGAGACCACCTCGATGAAGTCGCCGCCGATTGGTACTGTAGTCCTGTTAGTCGCTGAGCCCAGAAAGAGAGGGGACCATAAACATACTGAGGAAGTTCTTCAAGCCCCATTGCTCAACAGCTGGATCCTCGAAGACAACTTCTGTTCCTAGAACGTATGTCTGGCACCTCTATCAGTTCTCGAAATATCTACCTTGACATCGACGGCCTACAAGCTGCTGCTTCGCGCGTTCGATATCCTCCGCGACAAGTGCAATCTGGCGTAGACGCGTTGGAGCCGGAGTAAGAGCCATGTTTGCTTGAAGCTTTTTCCAAAGGAGCTATCGGATGGGCTAGAATTCAGTTGAAAGAGCGAGATGATGGATTCGGGACGCGTAATGCCTCATTGACGCTTACTCGAGCTCAGCGGCTCAGCAGCGAGTAGCTTGTTCCCCGCATCAGCAGCCGCGGCACTTCCTAATGCGGAAGCTACAACGTTAGTGTACTAGGTTAGTAGAGAATCAATTGGGTTCAATGAGAAGATGGATGACATCGCAGGTATCGAGTGAGATACGTATCTGAAGCGGTGTCGTGACGTTGTCAGGGCGTGATGTTGCGATGTTTCATCGCGACTGCCACCTGGTCGGGCCGAAGTGCCGGAGTGCCGATGCTTTCGTCTGGTCTCCTGCGCGCCTGCCATCAACAACAACCTTGTTTCCACTTCCGCCGCTAATGCGCATCAACATTCACAATTGACTTCATCTAGTCATCGCGACGAACGAATGGCCCGATTTACGCCTCTCGCGTACATCATCTACAACACGGAGATGATTGGGCTCCAATGAGTTGTTTGCGTTTTGTTGTGAACAGCGTATAGAGGTATCTTAGATCTAAAAAAAATTAAGTCTTAAACAGGTAACAGCCCTCTACTAGGTGTCTTAAAAGTCGTAATTAAGGTGTAACACGTACCCTAACTAAGGTGTGCGCGAGGGCGCGCCAAGCCTTCCTGGCTCGGCGAGTTGTTTGCAAGATTACACCGTAGCCTGGAGGTACACAACCCCATTAGATCGATTTCCTATCGGCGGATGCTTCTGTGAATATCTACGGATTAGGTTTGACGATGCATTATGGAATGCAGCTTCTTCGTATCCGTGGGGTTGTTTACCCGCCGACTGACACATCTCTTACTTTACAGACCTTGACAAACAGT